TGCATTCAGGCCATTATCTTTTGGACCAAATAGCAGTTCTCCCTTGATTAGTTGCCCCACAAAGCTTCTAATAATTCTCCATTGTTAGATTAATCCTCGTGCCTTTTTTTGGATTTCTGTTTAGAGTCTTGAACTATAGGATATTCATCATGCAATTTCTTTTGTTTTTTTTTTTCTTTTTCTTCTTTTCTGTTTTGACATATTTACAATAAATAGCATGCAATCATTCTCATATCTCATTTTATCTACATTCATCATTCTAGGTTGTATTAATTTTGTTATCCTTTAGCCTTTAATTTCCAATAGGCCGGTTTTTTTCATGTATAGTGTTTAATTAATCTATTTGTAGTTCCTTCTTGAGTAGTTATTTAATTCACTTTTATGCATATATTTTCTTTGTGATTGATAATTATTTCTAGCCCAAAATTATGAAAGTTTCCTTGGAACATTGGTGAAGTAGAGGCCGGTTCAACCGGACGTGTGTGGGGTGCCTAACACCTTCTCACACCGTACTTTGGTCCCCGGACCCTAAGAATCTCATTCCCATTGGGCAATGCCGAGAAAACAAAATATTTTTCTTGAAAAGTCCCAGGTTTTTCTAAATTCCCAATTCAAAAAAATTTATGTGGCAACTCCTTCCAAACCCCATGCCAAATCCGTCCCCCCCTCTAGGTCGGGTAGCCACAGATCGCAACTCCATTGGGGAAATTCTAAGAGGGCTTAACTTGAAACACCGAGTTCCAAGGATTATTTTCTAACTTTTGAGCTTCATTTGGGCTGCACACACTTCACATTGCATTCTTCTACACACCCAAGTCATAGAAAATTTTTCTTCATTTACTTGTCATTCATCTTTTTTTGTCTTGGTTAAAGCAATTGAACTAGACTATAGTAGAACCATACAGGTACTCAGCTCCTTTCTTTCTAGTCAAGTCTGCACCCTAAGAGTCACACCACAACTCATAGGAAAAGAATTGGTAGGAGGTTAACTAGGGTAGAAGAATTAGAGACACTGAATCTTGTAATTGATCAAGAGGTGGACTCAACATCCCCTAGGGCCCTTGAGAGCAGATCGATGGTTGAGCCGGTACCTATGACCAACAACTCGGGCATTGAAGAAACCACTCCTACCAACCAAAGTCAAGGGATGGATTTGACCCAATTCTTAAGGGTCATGGAGCAACTCCAATAGAAACAAGTAGAAAAAATAGAACTACTTTGTTCTGAAATAAGTTAACTCTGGGCAAAAGACCAAGTCCAACCCTCATCTAGCCAAACCCTATCATCTAACAGGCAAATACTTGAGCAAGCAAACCCATCAACCCAGAGCCCAATCTTGATGACCCACTCGTCTATTCCAAACCCATTAAGCCAAGGGCAAGTTTCTCACCACTTGTAGGGAACACAAGATCAAAACCAACAAGCTTAGATTAACCGAATACCCACTACTCTAAGAGAAACCACTTCACCCTCAGTTTCGTCCCTGCCAACCTTGCAAACACTAGAACCAACCCAACCCATTCCTCTACCTCCAGCCTAGGGGCAAGTTTGCAAGCCCAAACCCTTTGGACCTCATCTACACCTATCCTTACACTATCACCACCACAAAGCACCTACTTACATCCCACTAGTTCTCAGGGGCACCCTCTTCATATTCAAGCATCATGTGTTCCTCAAGCCCAGGACCCCAACTCATATTTGGGTTGCTCTCAGAGGCCTTCTTAACAAGTTCAGACCCAATTACAACCCTCGACTTCTACTCTAGTCCAAACCCAAATGCAAGGGGAAACACCAATGCCTCTGACCCAAAGTATGATGGACCAAAGGTCGGCTTGCATAAAACAGAGCCTTAGCAAGTTGTAAGGCAATCATTTAGATTTGGCTGACTTGGACTTAATCACAGGCCATAGACTTCCCCCAGGATTTAAGTGGCCTAAAATTGACCTTTATGACGGGACAGGTTGTCCCCGAGCCCATGTGAGGATGTATGTGCAAACTCTATGACCAATGGGCCTAACTGATGAGTTGTTGGTCCAAATGTTTTCAAGAAGCTTAACTGGACCAGCTGTTACCTACCTAATGAATACATATCCAAGCACAGTTAGTATTTTGCCAAGTCTGGTTATCGCCTTCATCACACACTACTCATATAATACAGATATTCACTTGTCTAGGCAGAAATTAGATTTGATCAAGCAACATCCTGATGAATCATTTACATAATTTATTTCCATGTGGAGGGCCCAGGCAGCCCAAGTGCTAAAAAGGCCAAATGAAAAAGATCAAATTGCTATGGTTTTGAAGAGTCTCAATACAGAATACTCAAGTAGATTGACGTTGGTCCATCATCCTACCTTCCACTCATTAGTTTGTGCTGGTTGTCAAATCAAAGACTCATTGGCAACTAGTACAACGATCCCACTCGTTCCCTTTACAAATAAGATCGGTATTGCACCCGCCAATGGCAAGAGGCTCATAGTGAATTCGGCCAAGCCTTTTCACAGAGGCTGGGCCAAACCCATGTGGTCTTAAGCAAGGTCAATGTTGGTGTCCCACACCATACAAATTGAACCTAAATGGGCCAACAACTAACTTGGGATGTGAGCCACTTGCTTAATGGACCTTAGGCCTAAGATTAATCTGATTAATCAAGATGTCACATGACAGTTTAAACAATCGTGTGACATGGGTGAATATGGGTTTAGAGCACCCATTCTCATAAGAGGATAAGACCTATCTAATGATAGAGTCCAAATCCAAATAAAGATTTGGATAACAAGTCTCCTAATTTGATTAGGAGAGGTGCTCTTTTAAGGCTTATAAAAAGGGAGGGGGCGAGCTGCTCCAGATCATCTTCTTCTTTCATTTCTCTCTCTACTCTTGCCACCCAGACTCCCTAGTTCGACCTCCAAATTCTTGGACTGATTTTGATCAGTTCCTTCTTTGAATTTTGCAAAATAATTACAGAGAAAAATCGTGCTCATCTCCCTTATTCAATCCATCCAGTTGGATTGCAGTTTTTCTAAAATCTGTGTTGTTGAATCGACTTTGTTCGAAGCTGTGCCATCTTCAGTGGAGGCTGGTTTTGGAATTCAATTTGGGCGTGAATTACCACTTTGGGAAGCTACATCTGTGGATTCTGTATCAGGTATTCTCCTCCCTTCGTTTGAAAATTTGTCCAACCATCCAGTAAGGTTCAGCCATCCATATGATGGATTACACCTTCCTTCACTAAGGAGGGGGTGTGGAGAACCATCTACATGCTGCTCCCTTGAAAGTGGCTTGGAAAGCTTGGCACATTAGGCCATTGAAGTACCCATAGAGAAGCATGAGTGCTTGGAAGCTCTCCAAGTGGTCATTCGAGTTGGTGGTTTTATCATACGTCTCCAAAGTGAGAGCTTTGAAATTAGGTGGGAGTGGCTTCGAGATGGAGTCAATAAAGGCATCCACCCTAGTGGATGAAGGGTTTTGACTTGTGGAGGCATCACCTTGGCCTTCCTTCACCTGTCGGATTTCGTCTTGAATGGTGCCGATCTGCACCTATAGGTTGCCAAGACATCGGTCGATGGGGGCTTGGGCCTCATCCTGGTTTTCTCTAACACAAAACGGGTCAGCTCGGTTCCCTAAATTCTCAGATGCCAACACATCTTGAGCTTTTTAGGCTCGACGGTCATTGACGAGATCACGGAGGTCTGATATTGGTGGGGGAGAGGCATAGCGTCAGCCCCCAACCCTCGGAGGAGGGCTGTAGTGATTGGAGCACCCATCTTCGTCCCGACGGCTCTATATACAGTGGTAGTGGTCACGGTCCTGGCAATTGACACGAGACCTAGCTGGATCATCTCCCCTTCGACTGGGGAGTCAAGATGTCTTCGACGTGGGCTTGCTCGCCTATTGGTGGTTGTTGTTGGACGTTGAGGGGTCGGCCTTGTGGGGGCCGAGGGGGCGCTGAGCCATTGGCGTGTAGGTGGAGCGCCCACTATACTGCCCCTAGCTCTCGACGGGGGGCCACCTTGCGGGTGGGTTCTTGTCGGGCGCCCCACCTCATCTAGTCTTTGAGTTATGTTGTCCAATCTGTCGATGACTGGTTTGAATCGGTCCATGGTGACCACGTTCTGAGTGTTTTGATTGTTATCTTGTTTGTTAGCCATTTTCAAAAGCCTAGTTGTTTCGAGTTAAATGTTTTCTTAGGGGAAGTCTTAAGATCGGTTCCCATAAACAACATCAATTGTTGCTGCCTAGGATGGGCCGAGGGCAACAATGTAACTTCGCTTTTGGCCGAGGCTGATGTGTCCAACCTGAGAGCAAGGAGAGAGCACACATCAGAGGCCCCGGGTGTTATCCCTAGGGCGGAGACTCCAATGGTCAAGTTAGTCAAGTGCTTGAAAGGGGTTTAAATAGGCTTGAGACAAGGGCTTAGACGAGATCACTCGAAAAAAGGAAAGCTAGAGAGCAAGAGTGGACCAGATGGCTTTACCTTGAAGCAGGACTTCCCCTTTTATACTTGACCTTTCCCTGGAATAGTTGAAGGCAGTTAGAGGTGGACGGCCAGGATCTCATCCGGTTGATGCCACGTGGCACCATCTATGACCCTGCCATATGCGCCTGTTACCATTCATGGGAGATGGTGTTACATGTACAGCTGTAGTGTCCTCTAAGGGTAGGAGATCCGGTTTCGGTCCTCGTACAGCTTTAGAAAAACACGTATTAATTCGCAGAGAGAGAGAGAGATGGGACAGTCTACTCCAAAAGTACCTCTTTTGATCCGGCATTCAAGGATATCAAATTATGGACAGGAGAGATACTAGCATGTATTCCTCTCATTCATTTCCACCTCAACCAGACCAAAGGCTAATTCATCAATGGAGAAAATAAATACTGACAAGACTGAGAAGCCTCACAATACAGAGACCCGTACGTATGCCATATGATAATTAATTAAATTGGATTTTGTCTGCTGGTTTTTTGAAGTAGAATCTTTAGCAGAGATGTTTCCTCTTTCTGTCTCTCTCTCTGTTTTCTTTCTTTGAAAAGCTCTTGAGATCAGTATCTGCACCTGCATTGCATTAACCATTAACCATGTACTCTGAGTCCCTCTACTTCTAGTGATGTCTGCATTGTGTTAAACCAACGTTTTGAACCATATTGTGTTAATGGACTAGTTTCTTTTTCGAATTCCAGTGATATCTGCATTTTATCCTGTCAACTTCTTTCACAGTCCTAGTTCCAAATTGCCAACTGAAGGACCCAATTTAGTTTTACCTCTCTCTCTCTCTGGTTGCAGAATGATCTAAAATCACCTTTTTCCTTGTTTTTGTATATAGAGATACAGAATGGCTAGAAACAGGGAGGTGGAGCATGGCAACGATGTTTTTATGTCACAACCGCTTATGGGAACACAAAGTGAAGAAACTGAATCTCACGTTAAACATAAAGGGCTAAGGATGGTTCTACTCACCACGTCGGTTGCCGTTTGTGGCTCTTTTGAATTTGGGTCTTGTGTAAGTATTGATTATTAAGATTCTACCTTCATCTCTCTCTCTCTACTAGGATCAGGCACTCTATTCGTTCAGTGAGCAAACCAAGTCTTCTAAGATTAACAGGGATCTGCCATTTATTTCCTGCACTTGTTCCAAGATCTAAGAGGATTGGTGTTGATTGCATTTTCTGTTATTCAAAGGGCTTGCACTTCGGATATGATCACCTCAAATGAATTTGACTTTCATATTATTCAATTTGATCAGGTAGCACGGTCAAGTTTGGCCCAAATTGTCCTGCTCCAGAAGCAAAATCTGGAAATATTTATACGTTTGTGTTAATAATCACCCTTGATACCCCAATTCTCAGCTTAGTTGAGCTGAATCCTACTCTATCACATGTTTGGAACTCTGACTTTCTCCAAAGAAAATAAATGCAGAGTCTGCAAATGTGTTCCAATTGTTAGCGGTTTTGGTGATTATGATCTGTTGTACTGCAGGTGGGATATTCTGCACCTACCCAGTTTGGCATAATGAAGGATATTGGCCTATCTTTAACTGAGGTTCTTTCTTTGGCTCCATACTTGGTCTTTATTATGTGCTTTACTTAATCAATTGCCACTTTATCCATATATACATGTATAACAATATCTTTCTAAACAAAATCTTTCATATCTTGGATTTCAGTTCATTCAGCAGCCAGTTAGCTCTGCTATCTTCTAATGTTCTCTGTCAATGTCTGCATTCTGCTCAATATCTTTTCTTCTTTTCTTTTTTTTGATAAGAAAAGATTCAGTCAGGTGTATTTCAGGAATTTCCCTTTAATACTTTTGTGTCCTCTTTCATTAAGTAGGGATATTTAATTCATGGGTTATTTTGTTAAGGCAAGGTGAACTAGTTTACAGAACTGGATAGTTGTGCATGACTGTTGAAATTAATAACTTCTTAAGCTTGCATATTAACCTCTCCAAAAATGGGCAGATGTAAGAAGTCTTCTTATACAGATAGATAGATAGATAGATAAGGTACAGCTCAAAATAAAATGATAGGGAACTTAACCTTTCCTTTCCTTGCCATGCAGTATTCTGTTTTTGGATCAATACTGAATATTGGTGCAGTGATTGGCGCAATGACAAGTGGGCATGTAGCTGATTTTATCGGTCGGAAAGGGGTAAGTACTGATGAAGATTATGTAATAAAGCATTTGGAATTTATGTGTGCATGTGTTGAATCAATTTGATTTTCTTTTTTATCATTGAAGCAGGCAATGAGGATGTCATCTACCATTTGCATTTTAGGATGGCTTTGGATCTATTTGTCTAGGGTTTGTGGCATCTCCACTCATTATTTCAGATTTGTACCTGGTCAAAAAAATATCTTTAAAATTCTCACACCCTCTATATCTGGATCACACTGAAGGGGGCTGTTTCACTTGACATTGGGAGATTTTTAATGGGATATGGTATTGGAATTCTTTCTTATGTGGTAAGATTTTGTTCCCTCTGTAGATTATCTCTTCCTATGGATAAATGACAAACATATTGATGCAATTCTACGCATATCTTGAATCATGCTTTTCATTCCTTTCTGAGTGAATAGGTACCTGTTTTCATAGCTGAAATAACTCCTAAAAATCTTCGGGGAGCACTGGCAACAGCAAATCAGGTGGAAGAGGCTTGGTATTAAACTTGTGATTGTAGTTAATATTAGAAGAGAGAAATGGGGCAGTTATAGAAGTATCAATTATCTCATTGAGTTATCATTTAATTTCAGCTCTTGATAGTTATTGGAATATCAGTTTCCTTTACATTGGGCGCATTTCTGACATGGCGAGCACTAGCTTTAATTGGTATTTTCACACTCTACAACTATTCAGTATTGTCACTTGTTACCCTTTCTGAGAAGATCATGTGGCGCAAGCAAGACAAAGAAATTGATGACACAGTGGGGTTTACTTGCAGGTATAGTTCCATGTATTCTTCTTATTGTGGGACTCCAATTCATTCCAGAGTCCCCTAGATGGCTGGTGAGTGATCGGCTTGGCTAATTTCCATGGTAATTAGTTAAGTGAATGACAAAAATGATGCACATATATCCTTACTACAGGCAAAGGTTAGTCGCAAAAGGGAGTTTGAAAGTGCACTGAGAACTCTTCGTGGGGAGGGTGCTGATATTTCTCAAGAAAAGTGTGAAATTGAGGTTCTTTCCTTGACAACTTCAAACTTAAGTACTCCTTGAGAAGATATCTCTTGTGCAGTAATTGTATCTCTCTCTCAATCTCTCAATCTCTCTCTTGTGCACACATGCATAAGCACACCCATTAATGACTTAGTTCTTTAGGTCCTTTGTTTTCATAATTGGATTGTGGGATTTCCTGCCTTCCATCTTACAATATAATAATCTCTTGGTAATTAGGTTGGTGTTGGGTTGATGGTGTTTCAACAATTAGGTGGAATTAATGCAATTGTGTTCTATGCAAGCCAAATTTTTGCATCTGCAGGTAAATTTTCCTTCCTTAAGATCATCCCTGCATGAACTCTTTGAAAGCTATTAATCAAAACATTTTGGTTTTCCCATCTGTGGTCTCAGGGTTTCCTCCCAAGGTTGGAAACATACTTTATTCCCTTCTTCAGGTTTTCTCATATCTCAAATCTCAATGTCAATGAACCGCTCTTCTCAAGGGCTTCTGAATTACACTTTGTGTTTGTATAATTTCTAGGTTGTGGTAACAGCATTAGGTGCAAGCTTAATTGACAGAGCTGGAAGAAGACCTCTCTTACTGGTAGGAAGAAGGCACTAGCAAGAGTTATTTAATTCTGCACTCACGTTATCTCAAAAGTTTTTGATGAATATGCCATTTCAGGTTTCTGCATCAGGGTTGTTTCTAGGCAGCTTTCTACTAGGAATTTCCTTCTATCTAAAGGTGAAAATTAGCAAATGTTGATAATTTTCTCTTTTGGTATACATCCAATATATTATCTAATCTTCTATCATTTGGGAACTAGGCTTCTCAGTTGTCTCTCAATTGGGTTCCAGTTCTTGCACTCAGTGGTGTCCTGGTAATAAAATAGATTATTCTTAGAAGGGCATTTCTTCTCTGTATTACATTTTTTGCTTAAATTCATATCATACATGGAGATGGATATTGAAATTTGAATTTAAGTACCTTGCCTTTAATTGTTCATTTGTTTGTTGAGATCAGGTCTATATAGGCTCCTTCTCAGTGGGAATGGGAGCAGTTCCTTGGGTTATAATGTCTGAGGTAATTTTTCAAGATTCCTGAAGGATGAAGTCCTCTAATATCCATTGATACTAAGTACAATTAATGAAAAAAAAATCATGCCTCTCATCTGGATTACATTTACATTTGTTACAGATTTTTCCCATAAATCTGAAAGGAATTGCAGGAAGTTTGGTGACATTGGTGAATTGGCTTGGTTCTTGGCTTGTTTCTTATACTTTCAACTTTCTCTCTGTCTGGAGCACCTATGGTAAAGATCCCATAAAAAATAATTTTCTAATATGCACAAAAGGAATGACTAGTAGGGATGGATTCAAGCTGAGCCAAATATCTGGCTATTCAAGCTCGGATTGACAGAAATACATGAGGCTCGAGTCCGATTTGAGATAGAAAGATGAGATTGAATTCAGATTGACTCAAAAGCTCATATGTTCGAGCTGAGCTCGGCTCAAGCTCGAAAGTGAGCCAAGCTTCATATGAACAATAAAAAATTTAACATATAAAAAATTAAAAATATTATATTTAATATAAGTTCGATTAGACTTGTGAGATTCACAAGCCAAGTTTCATTGGGCTTGAGCTTGGCTCAATTAGCATACACGCCTATATATTGGGATTGATCTCAGCTTGAAGCTCCATTTAGATAGAGCCGATTCGAGCTTGAATAACTTGTGAAAAGCCAGATTCTTGTCCACCCTTAATGACTATATTGACAATGTTAGTCTTGCATTGGCCTTTTGACCTTGTAGAAGTTAGTACTAGCAATTGACCATGATAGCCTGGGTAATTGGTTTTTGTGCTGTTTCAGGTGCATTTTTTGTCTACTCTGCTATTTGTGCAATAGGTATTGGGTTCATTTTCAAGGTAGTACCAGAGACTAAAGGCCGGACCCTGGAAGAAATTCAGGCTTCCATGAACTCTTGAGAAACCTAATGGTGGAAAGAACATGTTTGTAGTTGTTTTCAATGGTTCATTGATTTTTCTTTTCCTTTTTATTGCTGAGAGATGTAACAGACAGAAAATATATCAGTAGTCACATTGTTACTGGTGCTTCATAAAATCAAATTTAGTTCCTCAATAGCAATTAAGATTATGGACTTTCATCATCATTGACTGCATTCAATAACAAAAGCCAACAATATTGGGAGGGTATCATCACAGCAATGTATCGTTCATTCTAATGTACCACAAAACTGCGCTTGATACGTTCTACTTTTCTCTAGAGTCGGTCCTAGACTAGACATCAAGCAATTGATGCCTTGACAGCAGAGGGTGACGGGCTCCCCATAGAGTGCCACATGCCCCATAATACATCCCACCCTTGCATTGGAAACATCTCCCATACTTTTCATGGGACTATTATTTGTATACATGCAAATTTTATTTCACAATTTTTTATATTTCTACATTTATAAAAATTATTCTTATTTATCACATTTATTATGGTTTATTAATATAAAGATGTCTAAATAAAATTCTTGCAAAGGTAACGAGAATTAATAAAATTCTTATTTATTATGGTTCATTAATAAAATTAATAATTTTTATCAATTACCTTTGTCAAAATTTTATTTGAATTCTCATTACCATTGCAAGAATTAACTTCTATATGATAAGTCCAACATCAGCTCCTTCAATCGCTAAAATCCTTACAATGAACTACTATAAAAAATATCACTTACTCTTGTAGATATCTTGTAATCCAATGATATGGGTTTTAAAGTAACGGAAATGAAAAATTAACACATCATATGGTGAGAATAAAGAAGAGAAAACCATCTGATATCTTAATGATCAAGAACTGAACCAATGAAAATAGGTTAAAAATATTAAAAAAGAAACAAGAAAATAGTTTAAAGAATAAATTGCTTATCCATTTTCAAGTTGGAAATCTCTTCATGGTGGTTAATGTGGTCCAACATCGTTTATTGAGAATATAAGATGTACTTTCAATTTTTTAATTTAAATAAATGATAGGGTAAATTGCTAAAACCTCTTCTAAAATTTTTTATCATTGTTGAACCCCCTTAAGGTTTGGGAAATGCAATCACCTCCCATGAACTTTTTGATACAATTGCAAGTAGTCCCTTTGTTAGAATCTTCTAACAAAAAGCACAAAAATGTTTAAAATATCCATATAGTTACTTTTGACCAAAATGTTTATTTTTCAAATTTTTTCTTCGTATCATTCACTACCCCAACCCCTTCTAATCTCTTTTTCGGAATTGATGTATTTTCCAAATTCGCCCTTCATATCAATTGCTCAAAGGTAAAATTGAAACTTTAAACTCTCTTTTTTTGTTGTTCATAACATTTATATTGTTTTTTATATATAAACCAGCTTCAATAATAATTGTATGGGTATTTTGGACATTTTTATGCCTCTTGTTAAAAGATTATACAAAGGGGGTCTATTTGCAACTGTGTCAAGAAGTTTAGGGGGAGTGATTGTCATTACCAAACTTCAAGGGAGGTTTGAGCAATTACCATGGGTCGTTTTCCAATTATTAAACAAAAAAGGGATTTTTGTGTATTTTCCCTAATAAGCATTTAAATGGAAATGTTAAATAACATTTTTTCCATTGACTTTTTTTTTTTTTTTACAATTATGAACAAAAAGAATGAAAGTTTTGTGTGTTCTTTTTTTTTGTAACAAGTATTAAATGAGAAGGAAGGGTCCTTTCTTATAAACAATAAATGAAAAAACAAAGTTACATATTTACCATTGCTCCTCTAATTTAAACCTTATATGTGGTATATTTTAGTCTAGTGAAAATTCTGGATGCCAACCACATCCATTGTACTTTTATAGATAGTATAGATAAATATGCTATGGGCCACGTGTGGAGCATGCTCTATGGGGAGCCAATTCAATCTCTCCATAACAAGCAAGTAAGGGCACCCTGGCCTAGGGGTGTACATAGTCTTGTTTTGTTTAGTTTGGAGAAGACCTTAGCCCAATCAGTAAATTATGATTTGAGAAATTCTTAGGTCAAACCAAACAATTTTAGTATTAAATCCATACCAGACCAAATTGTTCTATTACATTTGGTTTAGTTTTTAATACATTTTGTGCCATTCTATTGGTTTTAATCCAATTAGAGAAAACACAAATAACATGCATATTTTTTTACGCCAATAACATGCATACCTACATAAATAACAAATATAATTCAAATATCAAATTGGAATGTTAACAAGTGCCATATATTACCATTATATAAATTATATTTACACCTTTTCTAACATTAATAGCTCATTGGACATCAAATTACAAGTTAGAAATTGGAACAAACAACAACAATGTATGAAATGTTAAATGAATGCATACATATATACATACATACATGCACACGTGCTATTCACATGTGCAAATAAAAGGTAAATATATAAATTAACAATATAAAATCAAATTTAACTTTATGACTTACACCAAAACCAAAGCAAGTATCCACTTTATAATAGTATAGATATTGTTAATAATTGGGTTTACAGTTTAATATATTTTCTAAAATTTAAAAAATCAAACCAAATTAGAAAATTATGATTTGAGAAATTCTCAAACCAAACCATACAATTTTAAAATCAAAGGTTCTAAATCATACAAGGCACTGTTGTTTAAATAGTACTACTAAGGAGTTGGAATCAATGGTACGAGAAACTTTGAATTCACATGTTCACCTCTCTATTTGGGTCAAATAATTAAGGAGATTTCTTATACTACATGCCAAAATTTTTGACGTGGACCATATGCTGAACCCAAGCTGTTTAGGTAACATCAGTATATAATAGTCACTGAATATTTCAACATTTTAATATTATATTAATTTAAATTTGTCTAAAATGAGCGAATTATTCTGACCACTCACCGATGGTTATGTGGGGTTGACCTATTAATTAATAGACCTGCTTATAATATGTTTGCTTATTTAATTTATATAAAAATTTTGGGGTGAATTACAGAATTAGTCCTTAAATTTTCATTTGCGACAAAGGTCCATCCTAAATTTTTGAATTCCAGCACTTTGCCCTGTCTTTAGCATTTTGTTACTTAACTTTAAAAAAGATTCTTATGTGACTGTCATGTGTATGTCTAATTAAACATTTCTAAAATTTTAAACTGGTCCTATATTGTTTTATGAGACCATTTTGCAGAAAATTGATGAAAAAGAAAAAATGGGAAATTACAGAAAACGCAACAAAGAAAAATAGGAAAAATACAATTACTAAAAATTGCAAATAAAAAACAAAAGACAACAGTACATACCATGCATTAACATATCTATTTTCGATATTTTGACATTTTTTTTTCTTTCAACCCATCAAACTTTGGACAAGTATTGTAGAAATTTTACCTTTATCATCAAGTCCATTACCAAGTCAAGGGGCAAAGTGATGGAATCTAAAAATTCAGGGTGGGTCTTTGTAACAAATCAAAGTTTAGAGGGCTAAGTATTACTATCCCCAAAGTGTAGAGTAAGGGTGCAACTTGGATGGATTCGGATTGGACATTTATAAAAATTTGAATGGACCCAACCTGAAGGCCCAAACCCAAAACAGTGTAAAATGCTAACTTGGGCCCACCTTGAACCTTAGGTGACAATTTATAATTTACCCTAAAATTTAATATTTTTCTAGCAATTGTATTTTGTAGAGATGCATGGTCAGTTGGCCCTTGAGACTGCCCAGTGGCCACAGTATCTCTGTCTCCTCTTCAATTCAAATTAATCAAACAGAAAATCCTAATGTTTCACAATTAATTAATGCCATATCTCATCTGATCTCCTCATCTTATTAAATTATTAGACTATGTCATTTTAATATTCAGTCCACCATTCTTAGTAAGACAACTCACAGCTGTCCAAATTAATCTCCCAACTGTCATGAATTATCCTGTCATAAAAAAATCCCTCCCAACACATTTCAATATAATGATCTATGCGAGATTAGATTGGCATCCAACAGATGGTGTCTCACAAGCGTTTTACAAATACATCTCAACGTGGATTGAGAACATCTCCCGTACTTGTCATGTGAAAATGTTTCTAATACATAGGTGGGAGGTGCCGTATAGCGAGCGCCCTGTGTGGAAAAAAAGAAAGAAAGAAAGAAAGAAATGCATGCTTACATTTGGGCCATGTTCAACTTGGTCCGGAAATTGAGAAAAATCACAAGTTTACCTTCAAATCTCAATTTATCTGACATCTCTCAATCTATAAGTCCCGTTCGTTTTTATTTACCTGGATAAGTATATTTATGTAGACAAGTGTTTTGAGATTCTAGCAGTTTTATGTAATATAAGTTATCTAAGTAAAGAGAAAGGCAGGAGGGAGAGAGCATTACTGACATATAGGTAAATTGCTTAGCTTATCTACTTAGTAGTTTGGCTTCAGTCAGGGTTCGAGCAGCCTTTACTGTCTTGCATTGCATTGAGAATATCTTTATACGGTATCCAATATATCAACAGTTACCCGGCTAAATACCGGAACAAATAGGGCCTAAATTATTTTACATCAAACCAAACACAACCAGAGATTTGATTGTAAAGAGTAGGCGTTCAAAATAGGAGTCCACAACCTACCTCAGCCATGACAGCTAGGCGTGCTGGCCTCACATGGTGGTATATGTGATGAGTTGATTAATTTTGTCTGACATCTCCATCGGCGGTTTTATTAAGGGCGAGCGCGAGCAGCCACCAAGGGTGAAGAGTGAAGAAGAGATCTAATTAGAGAGAAGAACAATTACTCTCCTCCTCTTGCTCTGCAGGCAGTGAATCGAGAGATATGAGAAACAACCGGGAAGACGTAGAGGTGGGTCAGAGCAACGACGACAGATCAGATGAAATAGCCGAGCCCCTTATCGGGCGGCAGCACAAGACGACTCCTCCTACTACCGAGGAGGACCAGGATCAGGAGGATGAATCAAAGCGAAAGAGCTACGACGACAGAGGGTCTCTGTGGATGGTTCTTCTCAGTACGTTCATTGCGGTTGCTGGATCTTTCGAGTTTGGATCCTGTGTAAGTATATAATCGATCGCTCCAACTCAGTTGTGCTACTTGTTGTTCTCTTTTGCTATAGCACTAGGCGCAGCAGGAATTCGAACCCATACGTCCTCCTCTCTTCTCTGGTTCTGTATGCTTGTATGTATTTTTGCTTTCTAAATTCTAATTGCGAGGTTGCAGGTGGGATACTCGGCACCAACCCAGTCGGAGATCACTGATGATCTTGGTCTATCATTAGCTGAGGTTTGTTCATTCTTATCTTACCAATCTTCTTCTCTGCTTCCTTTAATCACTGGTTGAGAGGGTACGTTTGATTCACGTCTTGTTTTTAGCTGACCTGTCCATTTAAATGCATTGTATAATATGGACACTGGACTAGCATTGTATTCAATGCTTGAGAGGGTCCGTTTGATTCACATTAACCAGAATGGTCTATTCCTATAATAAATTCATTTTGGTTCATACAGAAATCACATCGGAACGGGAATTGGAATCCGCTAGAATAGAATAAAATGAATTTCATTTGCAAGGTGTCAGAATCGGTTCCCATTTTGATTCTAAACCCTTCTTTTCGCAAACCAAACGGGCCCTTATTTTATTTTATTTTTTTTAAGTTGTGTCCGACATAAAATCTCTTTAATAGAATGGGGGTGCATGTATTTTATCAGATCCAACCAATCAGAGAACAGATCGGACTGCTTCACAAAACAGTGATGTTGACTAACTTATACTTAGTACAATAGTACTAGTAGCACTATAGCAATGGGCCATGTGGGCCATCCATCCATCCTATTCCTATAATTGAGGGGCTGCGTGCGTTGCGTGATGGTGTCTAATTATGTATAGTCCCCGTATACATACGGAATGCTCTGAGCTAAAACCGTGAAATCACGGCCTTCGATTCAATTCAAGGTGGGCCACTACAAAGACATTGAGGGCCGTGATTCACGCTTTTAGGACAGAGGTATTCCAACGCTCACTCCCGATCTGCTCCTCGTAAAACACACCACAGACGTACAACCCCATCTCACCGTGTATGGGGAATATAGTATTGTGTTACCATTCATAGGGATATGGAGATGTTATTAATACACGGTGGCATGAGACTGTGAGGTCTGTGTGAAGTGTACTATCTGAACGAACAGTTCTCGATTCATTCCAACAAGAATAGCTGATTTTTGAGCAATCACACACATGTGACATATCATGGCACACCAGATTTTTCTGAGTTTGGATCTGCTACCCACTGGTGTCCTCTGCATGGTAGATCTGTAATTAGCTTTCAAATGCTTAATTTTTTTGGGAGAATGATCAGCCCAGGGTTAGAATTCATAGGTCTAAAATACAATTGGGATAGGTGCTAGCTGGAATTGATGTCAATTCACAGGCATATATGGATGCATAGGGTGTGGATTTTTGAATTTTTGAATGTTTATAGAATTGTAGCAAAATTCAGAATTCTACATTAGGCCTGTCTGTACTTCTCCATATTTTTTTATCAATATAAGTCAGATATTTGCATTGGTTCACATGCAAACTATAAAATTAGATCACATGTTTCCTGGTGTAATATTGCATAGGAGTTCTTAATTTTAGTTTCTTATCATTATTTCCACAAATTCATGCATTAGTAGAGTCTGGATTTACTCCTCACACCGACCTCACAACATGTTCCAGTCACACATGAAAAATATCTCCCATACTTGGAGATGTTTCCAATACATGATGGAATATGATTGTAAGGTCGGTGTGAGGAACTGATCCCAATTGGCATTAACATGTATATTTATATCTTTACTTCTAATACTAATCAACCACTTTGTAACAAGTGTTATAGAACTCAATTATGGGATTTCATCCTCACAAAATTGATTAATACTCGTAGTCATGCATTGAAAACATCTTCATACTAGTATGTTTTTATTCATGGAAAGATATTCTCAATGCTCAGCTAAAAGTGTTGTGAGGACCAATTTTGTGAGGATGAAATCCAGATTTTTTCATCTCACCTATCAAATAAAAAGATGCACCTAAAGGAACGGCTTGTACTGTTGAATATAAAAAATCAATGAGCATACAGTAAGTATTGAAGAGCATTCTAAGTACTTGACAATTGTTCTATAAATTCCCCTAGCAAACCCTTGAAATGATTCAAAGAAAATTTTTAAAATAGATGTCATATAATACACACACATATGTATGTATGTATGTATGGAAAAACATGGTAGAGGAGGGTAAGGGCTGTCCATTGCTTAATAAAAGTAGGAGCCGGGGCCAACAGAGTTATTTGTGTCAAACTGATTGAAAGAAGAGGGGAGACAACTAAAATGCCAGTACTACAGAAACAAAAAGGGTCATACTGTTCAAAGTGGAATTCTTCTAAGATCCATTGCTCCATTTTTGGCTTCATGTGACTACACAAGTACACAACCAAAGGTAGCCTATCCCCCATACCCATAACCCCTCAAATTTAAACACTGATACATGGTAAAATACTCTGTGAGTGAATGGTGAAAAAGAAAAATTTGTTTCATGTGGTCATAAACAATAAATGGTAGGGATGAGGGGTTTGATCAATGAGTTGATGAAGAGGGAACTCTAAGTGGGTTGAAGGTCTACAGTTGACAAATGATTCTTAAATCAAATAATTTATACAGATCAATATAATATCAGACTCATCCTTCATTGTATTTATACATGAATGTGCTATATATTTATTCCACCAAATTTCCTGAAAACAGCCTTAATCTTGTATAACATTTTGTAGTACTCGGTCTTTGGATCAATTGGAAATATCGGTGCCATGGTTGGAGCAGTTACAAGTGGTCGGGTTGCTGATTTCATCGGCCGGAAAGGGGTAAGTTGAGGGTCACAAAAACCATTTACAGTAGTGAGATCTACTGAACTTGAGCATTAGCAGGATGTAGTTAAATTACTTTGTTTAATGGAATCAGGCAATGCGAGTGTCGTCCGTTTTCTGCATTGCAGGATGGCTTGCAGTCTACTTCTCCAAGGTTTTTCTTAATCTCAATTCTCAATTCATCAGTCTCAGTCATCTGAAATTCCTTTTATACATACAAACTCCCACCCAGCCAAAATCATATCCTCCAAACTGATTGATCCTTCTATGCTTGGACCTCATGAAGGGAGCAGTGTCTCTAGACATTGGAAGGGTATGCACAGGCTATGGAATGGGTGTTTTTTCTTATGTGGTATGTATCGCATCTCTTCCTGTCTCATTTTTCAATTTGTATATTTCTTTCCAGGTTTTCTAGCTACCCCAATTATTCTATGTTTGCCATACCTGTACCTCTGCTTCTTAACTTCTTTCCAACAAATTCTACCATTTATGCTGGCGAATGAATAGGTACCAGTGTTCATAGCAGAAATAGCACCAAAGAATCTTAGAGGGGCTCTTGCTACCATGAATCAGGTAGGAAAAGTTGATGATGAAACTGGTTATTGCATTACTGCTAACTACATTCATAATTGGTTAATGTGTAGTTAGCAGCTTATGTTCTACTACTGCTTGTTGCAGCTTATGATAGTTGGTGGAGTATCAGTAACTTTCATTATAGGAACCCTTGTATCATGGAGGACTCTTGCATTGATTGGTAATTTCATATATTTCAGATGTTTTCTAATGAGGTGAATGAAACAGGAAAAGATAACAAACAAAAAGAAACATGGATCCTACATAATAGGATGGAAAGTGATTGATGGATAGATTGAATTACTTGCAGGAATCATCCCATGCATAATACTGCTTTTGGGTCTCTTTTTAATTCCAGAGTCTCCTAGATGGCTGGTAAGCTCTTAAAAGTGAACAAATAGCAGTGGTATTTTATGGTTAACAATGAAAAATGACACATGATTAAACATTTGTGTTTCAGGCCAAGGTTGGGCGCCAGAAAGATTTCGAAGACGCACTGCGAAAGCTACGTGGAAGAGATTCAGACATTTCTGAGGAAGCTTCAGAGATTTTGGTAAATTTTATCTCTGAAACTTTGTTTCACTTCATACCATATTCAATTTTTGAGAAAAGCCATATACATTGACAAATTGATTAATTGTTGCTTGCCAGGACTACATAGAAACTCTTCGGTTCCTCCCTAAAGCCAATCTTTTTGATTTGTTCCAAAGGAGATACTTGTATCCTGTCATAGTGAGTCTTCACCACAAACAAGAAATTTCTTAACATCTTTATTTTTCTTCTCTCCATTAATGTTTTTGGTCCTTAACCTTTGATGATCAGGTTGGAGTAGGTTTGATGGTTTTTCAACAGTTTGGTGGAATCAATGGCATCTGTTTTTATGTAAGCCATATTTTTGAGGCTGCAGGTAAATTACCCTGCTTAAGAATGTTTCTGGTTAGGTACAACACTACACTAATAAGAATATATTTCTCACCATTTCTTTATGATCTCTCAGGGTTTCCTTCTAACATTGGAACCATAATTTATGCTTGCATTCAGGTTTTCAGTTGCCCCACTCAAACCCATGAAACCCAAATATTTTCTTGCCCTGATGTTGATACAGATGATCTTTATTGCAGTTCCCTATAACTGGATTTGGTGCATTGTTAATCGACCGGGCCGGAAGAAGACCTCTTCTATTTGTAAGCCCTTGTAGTATGGGAATTGTTCAGCTCTAATAGTCCAATTTAATTTTCTGTACTACTCCTAAACAGCTACACCATTCTAATTCATTGTTCCAGGTCTCTGCATCTGGATTATTTGTAGGTTGTGTTTTACTGAGTACATCATTCTATATGAAGGTACTTTCCAAACTATTATTCTAAGTTCTTTGTGCTTGAGTTTGTGTAACTTCTCTAGATACATCAAGACTCTTTTGTGAACCAGGTACATGAGATATCACTAGGTTCAGTACCAATACTTGCTCTCATTGGCATAATGGTGAGTACTGAATAGTAGTACTCCATATGTGAAGAATTTCTTACTTGTTTGAGGTAACTTGTTCTGATAGTTCTTTTCATATTAGGTTTATATAGCTTCATTTTCAATGGGAATGGGGGCAGTTCCATGGGTTATAATGTCTGAGGTAACTTCATTATCAAAAAATCATGTATCTCTGTCAATAGTATGCATGAGCTATGAAATTGTGGCTAAGAGTTTCCTCCATTTCAGGTATTCCCCATAAACATAAAAGGAATAGGAGGAAGCTTGGTGACTCTGGTGAACTGGTCTGGGTCATGGGTAGTTTCATTTACTTTCAACTTTCTCATGAGCTGGAGCTCTTATGGTAAAGAAGAACTTCATATAACTCCAAATTTCTTATGCCCTATTTAACACACCTACAGAGTGTGATGAGTTTCATTTTTGGTTTTTAGGTACCTTTGGGCTCTATGCTTTGGTCAATTTGCTAGCTATTCTTTTTGTATCGAAGCTAGTACCAGAAACGAAGGGACGAACTCTGGAAGAGATTCAGGCTTCCATGAATATTTCTTAGAGGGAAACTGACATGTTACTCAATTGTTTCTCAGAAAAGTTGGTTCACAAATTCGATGACTCTCTTGTTCATTTTATTGTTTAGAGAGGAAATGCTACATGGAAACAAGAGTACTACTTGTTACATTACTCGATTTACTTTTTATCAATAAAATTTCAAATCTACAAAGAGTCTTGGGTAACTATTAAACATTATAACAAAAGTATCATGTTGCTTGATCAAAACTGTCTTTTAACAGTTTGGAGAAAATAATACATACATATATAACATGAATAACTGGGGTTTAAATGTTTACTAGTTTGGAGAAAATGAATATGGAGTTCAACTATGACACATTTCAAATATTTATTGCATGTTAAATCAAAATTTCAACCAATCACATTATCGGTTTCATCCATCTCAATTGGATTCTCATACAAAAGTCCCTCTCAATTTGATAGAGAGCTGCCATATTTGACCATGCTGGTTCAAAATGTGTTATTGGATGCCTTTTGTTGGATTTTTATCACATTAAAGATTAAATTCTATGGGTGTTTGATTGATTAATTAAGCACATTTAACACATTAACTTTGAAATGATTTTTAATTCCCACCAAAACTCTTGTTTTGTTTTGTATTCTCCCTTTTTGAGTTTTGTCTCACATTACAAAATTACAAGACTTTTCTTAGGTTTTTAAATAGGAGCTTACTTACACTCCTTAGAAGAATGGGAGGAAAGTGGCATAACGAGGTGTTTTAGATGTGCACTTTGCTTGCACTCCACTCACATCCATGTAAAGGAACTACATATTTTAAGATAACATGGAGGTACGCTAAGGTCACATGCAACAAGAAGAAATGACATGACATGACATGAGATGCATGAGAGGAGGTGAGATGATAAGACCGTCACAGGTGGTAATTGCAAATCACGAGCCACAAAAATCCAGGTTTCTTATCTCAAGTGAGATTGTCCTTGTGAATAGACCTGCTCATGGGCAAGGCCGGGTCGGGTTCAGGCCGGGCTTTGCCTTTACATTAACAGAAAATGTTCAGGCCCGAGCCCGAGACCGGCCCGACCATTGGGCCTAGGTCTTGAGCCCAAGCCTGGCCAGACTATAAAGCTTGAAGCCCGGGCCTGAGCCCGAGCCTAACTAGAAATTTGGAAAAAAAAGATTCCTTTTTAATTCAATTAAAAGTTGTTTTATTTATACTAAAAGACCTCAAAACCTAAAAAAATATTGAAAAGTCTCATTATTACTTGAAAAAAGAGAAAAATATATTATATATATGCTTTTTTTATTATAAAATATATTTTTATTAATATAATACATTATCAAGTCGGACTTGGGCTTGGGCCGGGCTTTTTTGAGAAAGCCCGAGCCCGAGCTCGCGGGCCTGAAATCTTGTCCAAGCCCGACTTAGATCGGGCTGGGCCTACCCATCAGGCTACCCGACCCATGAATAGGTCTACTTGTGAATTTCAAATCATGGGTTGCAAATCAAAATTCACAATTCACAAATTGTGAGTCGCAAAATACATCTGACCCAGGTGGTGAACCACACTTTATTTACAAGGGTGTGTTCAAACACTTTTAAGAGGCTCAAAATGTGACTGTTGACATTTTAAGTTAAATCCAACAGTCATAACTTGATTAAGTGTGATCAAGAAACATCATTTAAATGTTAACGGTAACTAACTGTTAACCAATTGTAAATAGTCACATAATCTATACTACTTTAAAAAGCACGAATGGCCTCAAGAATATTTTTGGAATTTTTTTAGCACAAAATTTACCTCTTTATATTTAAATTTATTGATAAAAAAATGAGGGCAAATAGGGTAGTCGGTTATTGATATCAAATGAGTTGAACTGAGGTAATTTTAATTAAGATATTCAAGCATTCAGTTCCCTCTCATTAAATCCAACATTTAAGTTATTAACTTGCATTCATGTTCATTGAATCATATATTTAAGTCATTTTTGTTTCTTCTCAGCATTAAATTCAATTAATTAAATCCATATTTAATAAATTAATAATTCCAATAACATAAAATCTTATACTTTTAAAACCTACCTAGAAAAAATAGTGTTTTCATCTAGGTAGCGGTAATTAAGAAATTAAACCATTTTGGGTCAAATGAGTTAATCTATGTTGCCACGGTTAAATAATAAAATTCAAAAATAGATAAAATGAAAAAAATAGAAATAAAAAAAGTTGGGAACATTTTTAATATACATATTAAACAATAATAAGTATGATAAATAATAAATAATTTATTAATGATGAAAATGGAATGTAAAATTTAAAACCAATTAGAAATAAAAATATTTTCCTATTCTCTCTCACTAAATCCATTATTTAAGATATATTTTTCTCATCATTAAATTCTTGTAATTAAATCCACAATATTAATTTTAATAGTATAAAAATAAATATTTTGAAAAGAAAAACGTTTTCTTCCCTTCCTTTGGTGGGCAAGTAATTCAACCATTTGGGGTCAAATGAATTAATAAATAATGCCATAATTAAATGATAAAAAATTAAAATAAATAAGTATAAAATGTAAGAAGTATTTTTATTAATGATGAAAATGGAATGCCAAATTTAAAATCTACCTATAAATGAAATAATGTCATAGTCAAATAATAACATTTTTAAAAATAGAAAATACAAAGAATCACAAAAATAAAAATTATAGAAAAATGTTTGGGCACATATATATAATGAAATATTGGGTACATCTCTAATATTATGCATTCATTATATTGAACAAAAATAAGTATTTACATAAGAAATAATTTTATCGATGATGGAAATGTAATAAAAATTTAATGTCTACCTAGAAATTAAACTATTTTTATTTTTGGATGGTGGTTAGTGGTTTGCTTCAATTGATATCATGGACAAACAAAAGTTAAGTGTAATAAGTAAAAACTATTTATATAATGTAAATGGAATATATAGTTTAAATGGAAAATTATAGTCAAAGCCAGTTGTACATTTAAAATTAGGTTGTAGGATGGCCTAGAAACCAACAAAACTTTGACAACCGACTCTACATTTCAATTTCAAATTATAAAAACCCCTGCCATGTCATCTAAGGCTTATGTGGTTGTTGCCAACATGAGACTCTTAATCCATGTTGGACACAGGAAAAAGCCTATACCAAAAATAGGTTTTCAGTTTCTCTCCCTCTCCCTCTATCTCTTGATCTCCCTCCCTTCTCTCTCACAATTGCAGTCATGTCTCGATCTATCGCTCCCTCTGTCTCTCATACTCTCTCAGTTTTGGTCTGTATCCAAATCAAAACCTCTGTTTCTTTCCCCCACACTCTCTCTCATTCTTCTCCCTCACTCTCTCTCTCTCGATCAATATCTCCTTCCCCCTCAATCTCTATCGTTCTTCCTTAGTCTTTCTCTTGATCCCTCTTTTGTTCTTTTTTTATTTTTCTTACAAACTTATATAATATTAATCAGATTGTATAAAAAAACTAAAGGGACCAACCACTTATATAATTAAGTTATAAATTTCTATCAAGTTAGTTTAAATTTCACAACCAAGAGTTTCTTGTGAATTTTTATCAAATTGGTGTAATGATTTTTGAACCATACCAAGTTGGTTTCATGTTCTTTTATACGGTCTGATTAACACCATGCATATAAGTGTTTAAGAAAATTAAAAAAAAAAAGAACGAGAAAGGGAGCAGGAGAGAAATTGAGGGAGGATGATGGAAATTAAGGGAGAAGGAGAGATCGACCGATAAAGAAAATGAGAGAGATTGAGGGAGAACGATAGGTAGAAAGAGAAAGAGAGAATAAGAGAAATTGATAGATAGAGTGTAAATACAAAAACTGAAAACCATTTTTATTTATTTTCAAATCACACAGTCGTTGAGAAGAGAGAGATGACTGTGAGAGTGAGAGAGTAGGAGGGAGATAGAGAAAGAGAGAGAGTGGGAGAGAAATTAAAAACTCTTTTTATATTTTCTAATTATAAAGAGTCCCATATTGGCAATAGCCACATAAGTCTCCGATGACATGGCGAGGGCTTTTATAATTTAAAAACGTAGAGCCGGTTGCTTGAGTTTTGTTGGTTTCTAGACCAACCTGTAGCATAATTTTAAATGCACAACCAATTCTGACTATAAGTTTTCTTAATTTAAAACTAATTTGAAAGCAACACTATTTCTTATCTAGATGGTGGGTTAATGATCCAACTTTTCAAAAAAAAACCATGATGTCATAATTGAATAATAAATATTAAAAAAGATAGAACAGCAAAAATAAAAATGTACACAAATTTGTCGAAAACATTTGAGAACATTTTTAATGCTATATATTCATCATGTTAAATAAAAATAATTATTCAAATAAAATCTATTTTTATTTATGATAGAAATAGAATACAAAATTTAATAATAATAATAATAATTTGCTACAAGCATTTAAGTTTATTTTTAATCATATTGTTACTTTTTATTAATTTTCAATTTTTATCTTAACTATGATATATCTAAAATTCAATTAATTAATATGAAGAAAAAATTTGCATATGCAACACATGTGCTTAATTATTAGTTTGAATATGTGACTGTACAAAGAACCTCTTAAAACAAACACATTCCTTTTTAATGATGATTCTCCAAAATCTATAAAAGGATGTAAGTCAAGTCATTTTATACACAAGCTTTTCAAAAGTTCACAACATAAAACACTTGTCTCTCTTAGTCTGAATTATTATTGTCTCATATTAAGTTTCCTTGGAGATTCTTTAGCTTTGTTGGTTGTAGTTTCTCACTCGAGGCTCTGTTATATCTTGAAAACAAATTTGCCTACAACCTAATAGCAAATTTGGCCATTTGAATGGGGGCAAATAATGTTCTAAAGACAATGTCTTTAAATACGTCTCAGAGCTTCTCCTCCAAATTTTTGCAACTACATCTCAAACACCATTTAATTGAAGGGTGAAATGGCCACTTAAGGTTGCGTTTGGTTACAATACATATCTTGACCGAATGCAAAATTTGTAATCGGTTCAGTTTTGCTTTTGTTTGTTTGTATAACTATGATTTGCATTCCTACCTAATACAAGATTTGTACCTTTTGTCTTTTTAAGATTCATTGGCAATGCACATTTTGCATCTCAAACAATTGATGCAAAGTTTGGATTACCTTCATCCTACCTTAATTGTTTTTCATATAAAGTGGAGACAACACAATTTTGCATCCTACCTTATTCCTAGACAATAACCCTTCTACTTCCATTCTCTTTTATTTATGCTCAATTTGGAAAGAGTACAAATACAAATATGAACAATGCAAATACATACAAAATAATACAAAATAAAAGGTTTTGCACTCTACATATTTGTATTTGTATTCCTTCCAAATTGAGCCTTAGGTTGTGTTTGGTTGCAATGCAAACAAATTTGCATTGATGCAAAACCATGACAGTGCAAATGATTCGAGTGTAAATTCAGACTTATTTTTGTTTCAAATTTTAGCTTATTTTGTTTGATTGCAGTACAAATGAAGTAAATTAAGACATGAAGCAGAACAAAGTAAAATCCGAAACAAAATTAAATAAGAATTTACATTTTTTAAATTTGCACTCCCTTACATTTGTACTAGTACAAATAAAATTGCACTACAACCAAACACAACCTTAAGGGTAAACTGTTGAAACCTCTCTTGAAGTTTAGTAATTACAAATTTGCAATCACCTTTGCAGAACTTTCTAATATAGTTAGGGGTGCAAGTCGGGCAAGTTGGCCCGATTTTAAGGTCAACCCAGGCTTGACATGTTTAAGGCCTGAGCCCAGACCAAGCCTGAGGTCAAGCTCGATTTTCCCAACTCGAGCCCAATCCACACTGTAATTTGATGCATTCGGGTTGGTCAATGAACCCACTCTAAAATTATACATATATAAATGTATTTATGCAAATATGTATACATATATTTATGTATATATGTATGCAAAATATGTATGTATAAATGAATATAATTGGGCTGGCTTGGGTTGGGTTCGGGCTACCTAAGGGCTAGGCCTGAGCCCAACCTAAAAAATAAAAAAAGCTTGACTTCTTGGGGCCAAGCCTAGCCCGTGTAAAATTTTGGGCTGAGCTGGTTCAGGCTCGAGCTGGGCCCACCCAAGTTGCACCCATAAATACAGTTACAAGTAGAATCTTCTAAAAAAAAGTAATAAAAATGTCTAAAATACCCATGTAGTTGGGGTGTAAACAAATTGAATTCAAATCGGATCAAGTAATATATGAATTCGAATTCGATTAGAAAATCCGAATTCTAATCCGATTAAACATTTGAATATTCGATTCAATTCAAATTTGATTAGTTAATTATTTTAGATAATTAATAAATATTTTATTGATATAAAGTATATAAATATATAAAATAATTATTATATATGAATTATATAAAATATTTTATATAAGAATTAAGTAATCGATTGAATTTGGATATTTATCGAATCAAATCAAGTCATATCCGAATTCGAATCTGATTAACTATTCGATAAGAATAGGATATCCAAATTTGACCGATTAGATATTCGAATTATTCGAATTCGATTTGATTATGTCGAATATTGAATTCGAAATCGGATTTTCGAATACCGTTGACACCCCTACATGCAGTTACTATTAAGGCTGGTTTCTACAAAAAAAAACAATACAAACTTTTATGAACAACAAAAACAAAGAAAATTTATTGCAACTTTACCTTTGAGTGATTGATATGAAGGGAATATTTGAAAAATAAATAAATTTTAGAAAAAAGATTGAGAGGGTTTGAGGTAGTGATTCATATGAAATGATAATTTGAAAAATAAATATTTTTGTTAAATGTTTAGGTATTTTGGACATTTTCATGCCTTTTTTTTAGAAAATTATACCAAAGAGGATCTACTTACACCTATATGAAAAAGTTCAGAAGAGGTGATTGTAATTACCAAACTTTTAGGAGAAATTTTTACAACAACCAAAAGCTTTAGGAAAAAATTCACCAATTTATCCTTTATTTAAAGGAGTCCATATCTGCTCCTTATAGGCACATCCCACCATCTATCAAGAATATTTCTATACTTTTGTATTATTATTTATGGGAGATGTTTTCAATGGTGGGATGTGAATGTAAGGTCGGTGTTGTGAGATGCGCGATTCCGATTCTATTTAAAGTGGTCACTTCATTTTACTTCTTATTTCTACTTCTCACAAACAGACAAGACACTCAAATCCAAAGCAACAAATAAAAAAAAAAAAAAATTACACTCAGCCCCCAACTGAAATCCGCACTGCAAACAACAAAAGAATCTAGATTTGTAATCCCAGTTGAAAATTGAAATTAAGGTGAAGGGCATCATCACTCATCAGTGAATATAGCCAATTATTATTAAAAAAAGGTCAAATCTTGTCTTCCGTGTGCTTTTTCATGTTTCTGTTGGTTTATTTATTCTTATTTTTGCAGATGGGACTTAAAAACAAAATGCCTAAAAGGGAGATGCGAGGAGGCTCAGAAGTCAGAGCTCTTTCATCCACTTGGACCACCTTGGGATCTCCTCCCAAAAAAACCGTCCTAAAATAGGGGACTGGGGATGTGCGGTATCATGGTTTTTAAAAATGAACCGGTGATCAAATCGGTCAGGGGTTCAGTTATCGGTTCTAACAGTCTGATTGTTTAATCTGAACAGTTGACCCATTTTGACAAAAAATAAAAAAATTAAAAAAATTGAAAAACGGTCAAAACAGTTCAAACGATTCAAATGGTTAATCAACCGGTTCAGCAGTTTGTTGACCAAAATCAACGGTTTTGGAGGAAAATAGAACCAGTCAAGTGATCGATTCCTGGTTTTTTCAGTCCAACCGTCCGGTCCGATCCGGTTTTAAAAACCATGTGCAGCATAGATCATGTTAGAACGTTTTTTTGGGAGGAGATGTGGACTGAACCACAAGACTGGTCGTCCATTGAAAGACTACTGTCATGCAGCTGATCTGGATCTGACTTGCTTCAAGATAAAGACAGGAAAACGAAGGGGGAAGGAGGGAGTCTGGATCTCCTCCCAACAAAAAGCCCTTCAAATACGAATTCACATCAGCGCCCTATCCCCACAACCCATCCCAGCCATGTATTGGAAACATCTCCCCATGATAATTACAAGAGATGTTCTTCAATGCATAGATGTGCATGTGGGGCATCAATCTGATCTCTTCAAACACTTGACATTCATAATCTGTGCCTGGATATCTCATACATGGGTAGGGATCTGCTACCAACAAGACGCTCCCAATAACGACCTCACAAGCCATTGCAACTATACATTGGAACATCTCCCTTATCATCATTCATGGAGAGATGTTCCCAATGTATGGCTGGAATGGCTGGTTGGGGCAAGTTGGGAGCGTCTGGTTGGTAGCAGATCTAAACTCCTCATACATGGTGGGTCCTAGCCCTTCTTATGAGTTATGGCCCCCAGTCGACTTCCTTTGTTTTGAGACGGTAGGTCTGACTGCCTGGTGGTGAGTGGTGATTCCTCTTTCACTTCTCCATTACAGTATCAGGATGAGTTTTTTTTTTTTTTTTTTTTCTTCTTTTTCAGCGTCAATATTGACTGTTCAGATAATAAATGCATAGACCATTAGTTGGGGGTCTAATCATTAATCATTACTACCTTCCTCATACTGAAAAAATGAAAGTATATGGGGTGTTAGTCCTTGTTTACAGTTAAATGTTATTTTGCCACCAATTTACAGCATCAGATGGTAAACCAAGTTCAGTTCAGCACTCATCTCCAGACTCCAGTTGTTTAAAAAATATTTTTTTTCCTACCCCAAATGGATGGAACATAGAAAAATTGAATGAAGTGTAGTAATCTGTGTATGGAGTCCATAAATAATCATGGAGAGGACAAAGGACAAAGATTTCATTGTCTAGGTGATGCCAGTTAAAACTGGCTGTGGGCAAAGAATATTCAATATTTTAGGAGGAGACAATGGTTTGAAAAGTTCACACATCGTGTGGAGAGACGGCTCTCGTTTTCTTCTTTTAGCAGCGCAAAGCTAAAAGCTCATCTCTTAGTCAAATATCTGGTCTCGCCTCTCGGTATTAAACATGGCCGTCGACCAGGATGCTGAAGCTGCAGAGAACATTATCAGTATCCAACAAAGGATAAGAGAACCACTGATACGGAATATAGAACATGGAGAAAACAAAGGCGGCAAAGAGCAAGTATGGATGGTTTACTTCAGCACATTTGTCGCAGTTTGTGGCTCTTTCGAATTTGGATCCTGTGTAAGTACCACTTCTCATTCCCAAAAGCAGAAAAGGATGAACATTTGTCAAAAAACCAGCATCATGTCTATTGGGATTTGGAAACACTTAACCTGCTTCCAATCTCTAGTCTTATTGGAGATTAAAGAACACCTGAACCAATTTATTCTGAGCCATGGGCCTTATTACTTGGGTAGGTTAGTGGGTCTTAGGATGATTGGTCTTTGGCAACGAAACACACCATTTGACTTGACCCAAGCTTTTATTTCCATTTTCTATGGTTATGGTATATAATTTCTGTCAGATGAGAACATCCCTGTGTGCAACTTTATCCCTGCCTTGAGATTTCCATACCCTGAAGGGCTAATCCAGTTCCTTTTCAGAAACACCTCAAGGTGTGGGCTGGGCTGTTTGCCTGTTTAGCTACCAGGGTGATTTATCACGTCGGTTGCTGAGTTTCCAGAAAAAAAAAAAAAGGGCAGAAAGGCTTTACTTTTTCGGATCATAGTCTCAGTATGACAAGGTTAGGTGTTCTTAGGAAGCTCTTTGGTTTGTTTCCTTTAGGCTGGCTATTCATCACCTACTCAGTCTGCTATCAGGGAGGATCTAGGACTATCTCTCGCTCAGGTATGCATACAGATTTAGTTTCTTTGGATTGATTTGTTCACTAGATTTAACTTGGCTTATTTTTGATAGATAACAGAGCACCTTCTTGAAAACAAAGGGAAGCCCACTCAAGGTGTTTGTTTATGCCAATAACCAAATGACTGTTATTTCTAGATGAATGTTTCACATATGGCTTCATAAAAGCCTGAAAGTTGTAGGAAACTCATATAGAGATGGCTTACAAAAAAAAAAACATGAACCAAAATGTATTGCTGTTTGGTAATGCATTTATGCATGCTTCCATATATATATATGCTGTGCCTACTAGTCTACTACTGGTGCACTGGGGTTTATGTAGCTATGATATGATATTGCATAGGCCTATGAAGCCAGCAGCTCGGAGTTCCACTTTGTACACTTTTGAAATAATGGTTATTAGGCTACATAAAATGATTCACTGGATTAAGAAAGTACTCTTTTTCTTTTCTGTTTTTCTTTTATTGATCACTTTTGAAAGCAGATCCAGCTTTCTGATAGGATTATCAAGTTGCAAAGTTTGCACATTACATGAATGTGTTTAAATCATGCCACTTACTTATATGCAGTACTCTGTGTTTGGCTCCATATTAACTTTTGGTGCGATGATTGGTGCTATCACTAGTGGGCCTATTGCTGATTTCATTGGCCGGAAAGGGGTAAGCACAGGGAGAACCAAATGAAGTTGATTATATTCAAGCATGTATTTTCCAAGACAAAGACAACTAAGTCTATTTAAAAACTGTTGACTGTTTCATGGAAATGTAAGCAGGCAATGTGGATGTCAGCTGCTTTCTGCACTGGTGGATGGCTTGCCATTTACTTTGCTGAGGTTTTCTCTTCTCTCCTTTTAGTTTTGAAGCCTTCACTTTCATCAACATTACTTCGTAATTGGCATTATTATTTCTCACAAGTAAAACTGCTCTATATCTTGATGCATAAAAGGGAGCCTTGTTACTGGACATTGGAAGACTATCAACAGGATATGGAATGGGGGTCTTTTCTTATGTGGTATGTCTTCTGTGTCTAATGTTTCAGCATTTTCAAGTGCAAGATTAATGTACTAATGAGTAAATGGGTGAACAGGTACCTGTTTTCATAGCTGAAATGGCACCCAAAGATCTTCGAGGAGGCCTGACAACAGTCAACCAGGTTGAGAAAACCTTCACGTAAACAAACAGATATACAGCCCATCAAGAAAAGAAAAAAAAAATTTCATAGATATACAGATATCTTTATATCTATCCATCTATACACATACACACATATACACATACGGGCAGACACACAGAAACATATAACGGTGTGATTTGGGCATATTCTATTTTTACATAACCAGATCTTAACCCTAGTTAATACTTATTCTAGCAAGCAACATGAAGGTGTATCACCCAACTTCAGTATGCTAAAAGACACACTAGAAGACATTAGTATGTCCTGCAGAATGAAGTCTGGGGATCCAGTGATACACCTGATACACCCTAGTGTTGCTTATTATTATTCCTTTTTATTTAAAATTTTCCTCTTTCCACATGGTGTGTGCCTATTTATGAAAACATAAGATGTGCCCAAATCAATAAAAATCACTGATAGTATAACTTCATTTGATTCACTGTTATTACCTTTGTCCTTGATATGCTACAGGGATGATTTCTTAGTATTGTATGTGGATCACTCATAAATAAAAGATAAAATGAAGGATATCTATTGTTCTATGAATGATAAAGTCATGGATAATATGTATTTACTTTCTAACTCTGCAGCTCATGATCTGTAGTGGTGTGTCTGTTGCCTACATAATTGGGACAGTTCTAACATGGCGAGCTCTAGCTCTAACTGGTAATATTTCAGGCACTAGTAAATTCTGTGACAATTATCTTAAGAACCTTAATAGATTACACTAATTTTGTGAAATATAAGGTACATAAAAAAGAACATCTATTGAATTGGGTACTGTGACAAGGGAATGACGGATATAATTTGCTTACAGGATTGATCCCATGCTTTATTCTATTTCTGGGCCTCTTTTTCATTCCAGAGTCTCCTAGATGGCTGGTAAGAAAGCAATGAAAAATATCTTGTATACTGCATCATATTAAAACAGCATTTAGGATAATCTATATCAATTTATTTTTAACCATAATTGCAGGCAAAAATGGGATACCAGAAAGAGTTTGATGCTGCTCTGCGAAGGCTCCGTGGCAAGGATGCTGATATTTCTCATGAAGCAGCAGAAATCCAAGTTCTCATTTCTTAACTCTATTCTCAAGACACCTACACATTTACATGATGCAAGAGAATGCCCACAATTATAAAAATGATGGGGGTTTACTGTTAACTGTCAGGATTATATAGAGACTCTCCAACAGCTTCCTAAAGCAAAAATACTAGATTTGTTTCAGCGAAGATACTTGCGTTCAGTCATTGTAAACATCTTTCTTAGTCCAATTAGTATTGAGATTGCATCAAATTGTAGAACTGAAATTCCATGCCCCCCCGGCTATCCCATTTAGACATGTTGATTAGGACTTGATGCTCAACTATTTTCCTTCTCCTTTTCTTTTTTAAATTTCATTTTGATCAGCAAAATTTCTAATCATCAGGTTGGAGTTGGATTGATGGTCTTTCAGCAATTTGGGGGGATCAATGGAATCTGTTTTTATGTGAGCCAGATTTTTGTATCTGCAGGTAAATAACTTCATTTAAGATTTCTTCATCAGAAGTATGCCTGATGTGGTACCTATTATTTAGTCATGGGAAGAGAAAGATGTCTGCATTTCAACAAATGATCTCTCATATCTTTATATGTTTATATGCTTAAAATCATCACATCTTTAATCTCTCAGGATTTCCTTCTGATGTGGGGACTATTACCTATGCTTGTCTTCAGGTGTGTCAACTCTTTTTGTCTCAATACATCTGAAATCTGAATTATCATGCCCTGTGAAATTGCATTAAATGATTTTGTTTTCCAGGTTGTGATAACTGCATTGGGTGCATTCTTAATGGATAAAGCTGGAAGGAGACCACTATTATTGGTAAGAAAATAAAATATAAATAGCAATCATGATAATAGTAATAACAAGAGAACGGAAAGACTTTGCTTATATCAAAGATATAGTATCGCATACATCCTCTCATAATGGATAAAAGGCATTTTTTTGGTCTTCTAGGTTTCTGCATCAGGGCTGGTTTTGGGCTGCATATTAACTGCCATCTCCTTCTATCTAAAGGTATCTCTGAAACTATCAAACCTAACAACTTTCCTTTTTGTGGCATCACCTAATTTAATAAATGGAAATATCTTTTGGAACCAGGTTCATGAATTGTCAATCAAATCAGTCCCAGCACTAGCTGTAACTGGCATACTGGTAATAAATGATTGTCTATCCAGAAGAGTTTAGTTTGTAAACATCTTAATAATTATAAGTTTATATATTTCTCTTGCAAAATTATTTCTTTCTTTTCCCTTTATGGTCTTCCATTTGACCTTTGCTTGTTTAAGAGTTCAGGTGTATATAGGATCCTTCTCAGCAGGAATGGGAGCAACTCCTTGGGTTATAATGTCTGAGGTATCTTGATATTCATAAGGCTCATCAATTCATTAATTATTGTGCACATAATTGTATCATGCTTCTAAAAGGAAAATTGCTTTTGTTGTAGATATTCCCAATAAATGTTAAAGGAATTGCTGGAAGCCTTGCAACACTGGTGAATTGGTTTGGTGCATGGGCAATTTCCTACACTTTCAACTTCCTCATGAGCTGGAGCTCTTATGGTATGATTACTCTCCATACTGAGCACAGAGGCAAGGAAACAGAAGAACAGAAAAAGGAAAAATCAGAGAGAAAGGGAAAGTCTCTTTGCAGCATCATCTAATAAAACCCATCTGAGAATTTAAACTAAAGATGTTGAATACTGAAAACCTAAGAATTTTTAGGCCCTATTTTACCTTAGGGCAGCCCAGTGCATGAGGCTCCCACCAAGAATCGGGATTTGCTCCTCATAGAGCACACCTCACACCGACCTCACAGCACAACTCACCGTGTATTAGGAACATCTACCCATGAATAAGAACACTTGAGTGCAGGAAATGTTCCCGATGTGCGGGTGGTATGTGTTATGAGGAGCAGATCTGGACTCTCCCACCAATGTGGGGTCTGGGGAGGGACAGATGTACACGCCCCGCCTTACCCCTGTCATAAAAAGAGGCTGTATGAATTAGTGTTAGCTACTACATGGATTTTTTATTACATTGCTCTACTGTATTTTCTGGTGTATAAAGGGCCTCAATAATAAAGCAACATCTATCAATCACAAGAGAGAGGTTAGACTTACTATTTCTGTGGTTTTCAGGCACCTTTATCCTCTATGCTGCAATTAATGGACTAGCAATCCTGTTCGTGGCCAAAGTAGTACCTGAAACAAAGGGGCGAACACTGGAACAAATTCAGGCTGCAATTAATACCACCTAGAGAAGATCAAAGAAAATAAAAGGGGGAAACAAGCATTTCTGCTGGTATTTTCCTTTTTTCATTGTTTCATTGATAAGATGCAGGTTGGAGAGAGCAAGAAGATTTTATGCTGCCCCCGGAAAGACCTGAGGGAATACTTACCAGGATTTATTCACCACTTCATCTGAAAAACATACATTGATTATATAAACCAGAACCTGTTTATGTTTTAACTCATTTATATCTTTCACCATTTGGACTTTCAAATTGAGATACATTATGCTCCAATAGTTTGTGCATGAAACATGTGGATGCAATGTGAAACTCTGCACTTTGAACTTTTGGATTACCTAGACAGTTCAAATATCAAATTAGTTAATGTCCATAACATCAAATATCTACCTAATAAATAGGTCTCACCTATGAGGGGAGGCTCACCTACCTCCCTCCTTTAGCTCTCCATTCTTAACAGCTAAAGCAAGAGAAACAAGATTGCAACTACATTCGTTTGGGATTGCTACCCTTTCTATTAGACCCTTTTCTATTTTTAGACGAAAGAAATAGAACCCAACTTTGGAAGGAGATAATTTTTTTTTTGGCGGAAGGAGATAATGTTTAGAAGTGAGAAGATCTCCCTAAAAAGTAGACCTTCGGCTACAACAGTAGATGACATATCTGATGTTTTATCTTCTTCCTCTTTTAGCCTTTCATGGAATCCTAGAGAATTCACGACTGCAAGTGACGATACCGAAGATGGCTTTATAAACCATCTCTATAAGTTCAACGGGATACGCTTTGGATATCATTTTAAGATACTGGAAGGTTGTATAGTCTGCCTGAGACATTAGTAGCATCGTCTGGGTTTGTTGGAGCGGAATAACCCCATCTTTCCTCATATATCGTATATAGGTACAATGCTTCCCCTTCCCTCAAGTTGGCACAGAGAGAAATCAATTGTATCAGCATTCCCTACTGCGTGCAGAACACATTGATTCTTTTATAAAAAAAAAAAAAGAACACATTGATTCAAAAGCGTCTAAATTACCCCTTTCAAATTTTAGCACATCAATGGCGGAGATATCTTCATTGATTGAATTGAGGTTATTATTACACCTAAAATTGGAAGGAGAACTCGGAACATTATCATTGCTTTCAATTTTTTCTCCTAAAAAAGAACCCTATTATTATCGCATTAAAAATAAATGAACAAATGAGATTGAAGAACGTACTGAGTTCGGAATATGAAGCCGTGGAAATGTGACAAACACAGACAAGGACGTTGGCTGTTGAAATAAAAAAGGACAAACGAAACGATGAGTATCGCAAACGACAAAATCCGCCCGGCATTTCTCCATCTCGTCCTTGTAATCCTTAATAAACAAAACCCCATCGCCTTCTCTGTTTCTTTTTTCTGCTCCCTTGTCCAGCCTCCCCTTACTTCCCCCACCCATTCCTTTTCTGAGCCTCGTTTCCAGATCCGGAAGAAAAAAGAAGAAGAATGGACAGAGAAAGCATAGAGGAAGGAGATACATCGAGGCCCTTGATTCTGAAAGAAAACCCTGAAACTTGTAGTGGAGGTGGTGGTGGTGGCGGTGGCCATGTAGAGCAGGAAGGAACATCCTCCACCTCCATAGCAGTAGTTGTACTGAGCACCTTCATCGCTGCCTCGGGTTCCTACGTTTTCGGGTCCGCTGTAAGTAGCACTAGCACATCGAAAATCCTCGAACAAAATCTACTGTTTTACATAGTTTGGACTTGAGTTAATGGCGCTGGTGGTGGTGGGTAATCCTCATCTCATGCAGGTTGGATATTCATCACCTACAGAGTTCGGAATTATGAACGATCTTGGGCTCTCTCTGGCAGAGGTACTCTTGCTTCAAACTCTTCTCATGTATTGTGCAGCTCGGGTCAGGTTGGCTCGGGTTGGGCTGAACCAGCTGGATCAGGATGTGCTCTTTCTGTCTATGCTTAACAGAGCATGATTATTGGTTGGACTTGGGAGCATCAAAACCATTTCAGAAAATGGCCTATTGTAGTATGCCATGATGTGATTAAAATGATGATCAAACATAGTCCAATTAAGCAGATGAACCCAATGGACTATTGCTCAATTTTGTTTCTGTGACAAATGCTCAGAACTCAGAACCCACATCAATTAGAGCTCTTGGACCTGGAACATGGTCAATGAGTTGTCTTATCCCCAAGTTATAGTGAGTAAACAGAAAGAGAATGCTCTGTTTTAGCATTGATAGATAGACTATAGTTCTCACCATGGTTCATAATTTCTAAATTGATGGACATTTCACCATGGAAATATCTTGGAGATATTCCGGTAAGATATTTGGAAAATCTAAAAAATCAGAAAAGCTTTCTAGAAACATGGAATTAGTTAATAAACCTTTAAGGAATCATTATAAGAAACATGGAATTAGAAATACTCAAGGCTCAAAAGACCATAGCAAAGAACCATACAAATCAAATATAGGAGAAAATTAAGAGACTTAAATAGCTATCTCTCTCTATCTCTCTTTTAGCCTTTTAGCCATCTTCTCTTAATCAAATATGTCAATTATTTGCTATTTTGACTTTTGTCTTTTTTTTTGCTACTATATGTTTTGATTAGATTGAAGAATACTCTTTTGTAGTTATATGCATTTTTCTTCTTCTTTTTGAAATATAGTGACATAGTAAGTGAATCATATGAAAATAATAAACCAATTATCCAATCACCAATTCTCCACAGGTTCTTTTAGAAAAATACTTTTAAAAAATTTATGATGATTTTAATGAAATATTGAAAAGTTTTTAGCAATATCCTAAAATTTTAAACCATAAATGTATAGTCTATCAATGAAATCCAAAAATGTCGCTGGCATATCTGCAAAATATCAGGGATATTTGAAAAAAAGGATTCCCGGAAAACTTTGTATCACCACTTAGCAAAATGAGACATATCAGGGATATTTAGCCAAATATCGTTGATATTGCGAACCATGGTTCTCATATGAATGAAACTTCCCTAACTTTATTAACAATTTCCATTGTTATTGTGTGCTAAAGAGCAGTATTCAGTCTTTGGCTCAATATTGACAATTGGAGCAATGATTGGTGCAATAACGAGTGGACGGATTGCTGATCTCATTGGTCGGAGAGGTGTAAGTATAGATACTGTTGCTCTCCCAAAGCAATGTAGCATTGCAGTCTGTAATAACTAACCAACCTGTATGTACCAGTTATGCTCAAATTGATTTTTCTTGGAAAACAGGCAATGGGGGTCTCAGAAATTTTCTGCACCATGGGCTGGCTTGCAATTTTTTTCTCCAAGGTTTGTTCTTAAACAATAGAAGGAATAAACACTTTGAAGTTTGAACAGGGAGAAAGTAGAACAATTTCTTTGGTATAATCTGTATTTACTTGGTTTGGTTGGCCATGATATATGCTCAATACATTTTGAACATGAAAGGATGTGTGGTGGCTCGACATTGGAAGACTGTCCATGGGATATGGAATTGGACTCCTTTCTTATGTGGTAAGCTGGGTGGAAGTCTACTCTTTCTTCTAAATGCATCCTGTGCCAACTGTTTACTGATGTTCTTATATCCAAGGCGACTGATAGGATTATGAAAACAAATGGCTAACAGGTTCCTGTGTACATAGCAGAAATAACTCCCAAAAATATAAGAGGAGCATTTACGACTGTGAATCAGGTAAAGTGAAAAAACATATTCTTGAGAATTTGGTCAGATAGCATGCTTCCCTTTCTTTATACCTTGGGCCCTTGGCTTATTTCTTTGTTCATTATTCTGCAGCTAATGATATGTTGTGGTGCATCCCTTACATTCCTATTTGGAACAATAGTGACCTGGCGTACCTTGGCACTAATGGGTCAGTTCCATCTGCTTAATTTGAATAGTATCACTAATACTGTATCCCCGCCCTACATCCTAGGTGGTCAGAAATAGAGCTCCACAAATAACTCTACCATTTTTTGGGCTATTTGTATGGGATATGAGATGGTACCTTAACTGAAACTCCAAGATGGGAAGAAAGATAGATAACAGAATTGGTTGATCAGTATTGCATGTACTCTACAAATGGCTCCATGTATTTGATTTCATATGCAGGAACTATTCCATGCCTAGTTCAGCTCTTGGGCCTATTCTTCATTCCTGAATCTCCAAGATGGCTGGTTAGTCAGATCTCAAATCATGTCAAGTGAAGTTCCCAATATAGATTGTAGAAGGGGTCAACTTATCATACAAATGTTATTTCAGGCAAAAGTTGGCCAAGCCAAAGAGTCAGAAGCTGCATTACAGCGCCTGCGGGGGAAGCATGCTGATATTTCTCAAGAATCAGCAGAGATCAGAGTATGGAATTGTCTAATTTCATATCTTAATGGAATAAAAAATGAAATGGGTTCTTATGAGATGGACCGCTCTGCTGTTGTTTTCCAGGACTACACAGAGGCCCTTCAACGCCTCTCAGAAGCTAGAATACTAGATTTGTTTCAATGGAAATATGCACATTCTCTTATTGTGAGACTCCTAATTCTGTCACAGCTGTGAATTTGATGTTCCATCACTTCTGGACCCCTCTATGATTCATTAAATATGTATTTAGGTTGGAGTTGGGCTGATGGTGCTACAACAGTTTGGAGGGGTCAATGGGATTGCATTTTATGCGAGTGCAATTTTTGTATCAGCAGGTAAAAACATTGTGCTTCAAAATTCAAATAACTCTTCAAAAATCATTAATGAAGACACAAAACTTATGTGGATAATGACAGGTTTCTCTTCGGGAAACATTGGGACCATATTCATGGCTGCAGTTCAGGTCCTAGACATTGCAGAGATCCTTCATATTTGTGGTTGAGAGTCAATGCATATAGAGTTGATAACTTAATATATGTAGATGCTCCTCTCTGCAGATTCCTATGACCACATTCGGTGTGCTCTTAATGGATAAGTCTGGACGCAGAAAACTTTTAATGGTAAGAATAGCAGAAGAGTACCTCTCCAACTTTCAAGTTCTGATGAGGATATTGATGAATGCCAGAAAAATACTCAAGTGATTAAACTACTATATAACATTTACAGGTTTCTGCAGCTGGAACATGCCTGGGTTGCTTCCTTGTAGGAACATCATTTTTCTTGCAGGTTTCTAATAAATACAGTTTAAGTACTTTAATTCTTCATTGGTTCTTTGTCATATTCTTGGGTTACCATTCCCTGAATGCAGACCTTGCAATGAAACAGGACAATCAATGGTGGAAGGAGGGGACTTCCATAATGGCACTTATAGGTGTACTGGTAATGCATATAATCGAATAAATTTTCTCATGAAATATTATATATGGGGCCATGTGTGTTCTCTGTTGTTCTTGACAAAATCAATTATAAGTTTTGTCCATGGGAGACTGGTGTAGAAGAGTTATTCTGTATTGCACTTGAAACAAAGAATTGGAAGAATTCTAACTTTCTGGGGGGAAAAAGGCTTGTTAATGCCTAGAAAATTATGCTAAGCTTTCCATGTATTTCTATTTTTATATATTTTTGTGTTGATTTGATGGGTAAATATTCCATGGTTTGTGTGCTGCTGTGATTAGGTGTATACAGGATCTTTCTCATTGGGCATGGGAGGAATACCATGGGTTATAATGTCAGAGGTAAACCAATTTATAAGAATCAATTGCATGTTATACTTACATGGTGAGAATGCTTGGAGACATGGTTAAAACTATCAATACACCTTTGTGTATCGGCAGGGGTGTATCAGTACTTTAAACCATGCACCTTTTATTTTTTTGTTTTTTCCAAATTTCAGTTTTATATATATATCCCAAGATGATACTATACGGGGCGTATCATATCAATACTTTGAACCTCACTTGGAGATCAGATGAATGGAGTATTGTGTGATTTCAGATATTTCCTATAAACATGAAAAGTTCAGCCGGTAGTCTTGTGACATTGGTGAGCTGGCTTGGTTCTTGGATTGTCTCATACGCTTTCAACTTTCTAATGAAATGGAGCTCATCAGGTGATGATGACTGAAGCATGTATATATGTCAATGCTTTACATTTAGGCTATGTTTGGTTTGAAGGAAAATGCAGGGAAAGGAAGGGAAAGGTAGGGAAACCTTTACAAACATTGTTTAGGTTTCCCGTCTTTCCCTTCCTTTCCCTACCTTTTCCTTCAAACCAATCATAGCCTTAGAGTACTGAAGATGCCCTTAATTTTAAATGATGAATTTGCTGGAAACACAAATTTTATTTATTTATTCTTTATTTTGCTAGGAACCTTCTTCATGTTCTCAAGTATTTGTGGGTTAACTGTTGTATTCGTGGCATATCTAGTACCAGAGACCAAGGGGAGAACACTAGAAGAGATACAGGCTTCAATGAATCCTTTCTCATCGGAAAAATGTTGAACAAAATATGCATGGGTGATGAAAAAAAATAAATTAGGTTTGTTGTAATCCTTAAGTTGTAAGAATTAATTCATAACCACACATAAGGAAGGTTGAGGTTTGTTTTGTAATATGAAGATTCCGAATTTGGCAAAGGACAGGAACTTAATTAATAGAGTAGAGTGATGAAGTGAGTTCGGATTTGTGCACGACCCATATAGTGAGGTGGGGATGATGACGGTTTGGTTAATCGAAATATGGGCTTAATTTTCAAACTGAACCGGTATTATTGATTTTTAGAAAACCATGATCAAAATCGAACCGAAGCCGATCAATTAACTGATTGACCGATTCGGTTAATCATTAATTCGGTTTGTTGGTTTTTCAATTTTTATATGTATAATTTATAATATATAATAAAAACAAGAAATACATATAAAATATTATATTATAAATACATATAAAATATATGAGAACGTCTTCCATACTTATCATTGGGAGATGTTCCCAATATACACTTGGGATGTGTTAGTGGGATATTTTTAGGGCGCATTCTGTGGGGTGTGTAGGGGGGGCAGATTTGAACTCCAAAACCAAATAAACAAATTGTTATTATTTAGTGTACTCAATTTGACTGAAATATTTTTGGGGTCATTGAAGGCGACCTGGTCAAAAAAGTAAGTTAGAAGAAGGAAGGAATTGTACATCAGCAGCCTGCTGAGACCGGATCTGCTCCTCACACAGGGCGCTTCATTTGCGCCTCACTTGCACATTGTACCATGCATTGGGAACATCTCCCGTATTTATGAATTATTATTTATGGGAGATGTTCCCAATGCATGGTGGATGTGCCTATGAGGCGCCCCCGTGTGAGGAGCAGATCCCATTCCCCTGCGACCTAGTCACAAATTTGTGGGCATGGTGGTCAATTCCATATACAACTTACAAGTGACAATAAAACAAATGGTGCATGTGATGGACTACTTTCAATTATAAAAACCTATTGCGTAATGTCATCTAATATCTTAAGCTTTTAGGTTGAATAGTTTTTTGATATAGTATATTCAATTTTTGCCGCTCTCATTATAATTAATTAAATTTAAAGACAAGATATGGGTGGATTTATGTCTGCCTATGCTTCAAGCCTAATAAAACTTTTGCATAAAAGAGGAGTGTGTTTAAGAATAAAAAACTATTTAAGAACCTCATCTACCAACTTAAACTTTTAGATTGAATGGTTACTTGATTGGCATCCGATAATCCAATCTTACCCTTGGATTGGCATCCGATAATCCAATCTTCATTGCTGCTCAACTGCTCCCTAGCTAGCCTAGGACCAAATGAACATACACCATCTGTTCCACCATTGATTCTAGCTCTAGCAATGCGAATTTGTGAAAGACTATCTGTAAATCAGGATCCAATGGTGTAAAAGATTGGGCCTATCATGGCATATATATGATTTCCTGTGTTGGAACATGCATGGACTCCAGTCAGAGAGAGAGAGAGATTTGAGGATCTGGGTCTCCTCTCTTAAATGAATACTAGCTAGGTCTCCATTTGGGCATGGTGTCCCTGTTTATATTGTTCTTAGTACTAAGTCGTAGTCAGTACAAATTGTTCTGACCAAGTGACTTGCCTTACTCTACCGATTGTGGTTCAATTGGCATGCAAATTGGGTAGTCTCAAGTGAGATGCAGTTTAGAGTCTTGCTATCGGCTCTCACTACCTTTAAGAAGTAGGGCTGTTCATAAGAAGGCCCAACCTGATCAAATTGACCAACTCGGACCGATTCAACTCGAGTCAGCCAGGTTTTAATCAGCACGGGTCGGTTTCGGGTTGTGCAAATTCTTAAATCGATGATTCGGGTCGGTTTCGGTTTTCACACAAGAAAACCGAAACCGACCCGAACCAAACCGACTTAGTTCAAACATGAAGTTCCAAAGCCCATTAGGCCACCTAGTTTTTGAATGGTTGCAAGAAACTTTGGATTAGTGAATAGTGATTAATAAACAACTTTTGTGATTAACTTTTCATTTAAATTTTATCATAGGAGATGGCTGAATCATTCAATTTATGACTGTTTTTAAAATTAGCAAGATTTTATCACGGGGATGAACTTAGAACCGAAACCGACCCAAACCGACCCAACCCGACTCAAACCGACCAGGTCGGTTTTGCTTAACACTGGGTCGGTTTCGATTTCTATGTCAGGTAACCCGACTAGGTCGGGTCGATTGGAAAAATTGTAGCAAACCGACCCAACCCGACCCGTGAACAGCCCTATTAAGAAGAATTATTAATGTTGCTAGAAAAAGTACTGTACTATGCTAAAGAAATTTGAAAAGTCAAAGAATAAAAGCTTTTATTTATTAATGACATTCCTCTTCCTTCTAAAACATAAATGCTTTAACTAGAGTTTCTGCACAATGAGAGTCATGAGACGTTTATTTCTCTGTCCCACAAGTCAATTAAAAAGGTTAAGAGAAACAAAGAGATGTAGAAGCATCATTCCTTGTTGATTCCTTACCATTACAAAATTTACAATTCAAAATAAACCATTTCTTTATGAAATTAACATATTCAGGGTGTGTTAGAGACGACCCATGTCTTTTAGCTACACCTTAACACTACAAAACTAAAAGGAAAACTGTGAGTCAGATGTCTTTTTGATGTAAGTCCCGTGTGTACAAATAAGAATTAACCATATATGATATATGATATTTGAATTTAACTTTTATGATCCGAATCAAAGTTAAAGACAATAACATCTACTTCATATGGTATAAACGTTTAGTAAGAAATCTTGACAGCCCAACTTGGCTGTTTTTTAGTTATTTGAAGGGTTGTCCACTTCAGCCTCTCTGAATAACTTATTGCTCTACAAAGCAGCTGAATCTTCAACTAGGCCCTCCCAAAGATCCCTGAGACACACCATCGCAGCTACCTCTATGCATCTTTGTTGCTTTCCTAATTTGCTTTTAATAAAAAAAAAAAAGTAGAAGTTTCACCCATCATGGTACACAGTACAGTATGGGTGTTGCTTGGAGGTTGAATGAGTCCAAACGAACCAATCCAATGAGGGGCCCATGGCTTTTGGTCTCAAGTCACAACCAATGGTTGGCATTGTATTTGGCCCACGTGAAGTGAGCCCACAACACAAGAAAGAACGTTGTCTTCAAGCCCAACAAAAGAGAAAAACCCTTTTGCTTTGTTTTACTTAGCTATATTCTAAGGGAATAGTAAAGGGAGGAAGCAAGCAGATATCATGAATAAGAAAAGACTTGTACCTTGTCTCAAATATGACTTATCAACTTATGATTTTCAGAAATCATAACCAAGTGGGTGATACTTGATAGGTCATTTTGTATGGGCCCGGTAGGCTTTTCTTGACACATGGCATCTTAAAAAGGTTAGATGACACCTTGGTATCACTTAAGCGATGACTTGTCTTAGCCAAAATGATGGAGTCCTAGCTGGTGACCTATCTGCCTCTACCGCCGACTTGGCGACCTGCCTCTGTCGACCTAGCGACCTCGTCTACAACTCAGGCACCCTGACGTGCATGGCTAGTAGCACCTCGTCCAGGGTCAACTTGTGGTATCTCGTCAGTATTGATCGAAGTGACCTCGACTTGAGGTGCAACCTCCCTTGATGGTTTGCCGATTTGATTGAGGTCTAGGTGGTGACCTACGAGATGTGCTTGCCAACCAACTCTGCATGCATCCCGTCACTCCCGGGTATCTCGGAAGTCAGTTCTCACCTCGAACGTTTTGGAGGAAACCGAGTAAGGCGCAAAGATTGGCCTATGTGCACGACTACCTCCGAGGACTTTGGACCAGTTAGGCACGTCTTCTCGGAGATCCCGGACATGGTGCATGATACCCATGCCAAACAATGCCTATATAAAGGTCTTACCTCCAACCTTAGAAGATAGATGCACAATTTAGCTCTCGTAGCTCTCGCAACTCTCTATCTCGCTTTTAGCTCTCTCAAAAAATCTCCAGCTCATTGACTAAGCACCAGAGTGCCCACCCCGAGTAAAGCAACACAGGCATTCTAACATTGTTTCCTTGCAGGTTGCCTCACTAAGCTATACAACTCATCACCATAGGTAGACATCCCAGCAACCTTCCAGGTAGGAACCATTTAATTAGACGTCCAAACCACATTCCAGATAGGAATTATTCAGCTAGACATCCTAACCATATTCTAAGTAACAGCACATTTGAACCACATTACATATAGGAGTTATTGAACTAGACATTCGAATCATTTACCAACCGAGAACTGCCAAAACGCACGTCATCAGGTTTGGTTTATTTTATTGATGAAGCTAGATTGGTGAGTATAGGAGAGAAAAAGAAGAAAATAAATGTACCACACTGAAAGGCAAAGACAATACGGCAGTGACCTTAGGGGAAGAAAACAAAATACATAATATCCAAATTTTAAAAGCTGGGTGCCTTAATTCTTCCCCCATAATTCAATGGGTAGGTAATGGGCCATTAAACTTCTGTCCAACCAGATGGGCCTACCACTTACGTTATTTGTTATCTTACTTATCTCTGGGTAACTAACTTCCCACGTTTCTTGTTAAAATGTAAGAGGAGAAAAACACGGAGACCATTCCACATATGAGAGAGGAATACCCAGCCTAATTAGCCACGTGTCACTTTCCAATGGGAGATCACATCCCCGCCCCACAACGCCCCGGGTTAATTTTGGCTGTTGGGGTCCAACAGCATAGGCTGTTGAGATGAGACAGTTTCTGGGTTGCACGTTCTGGGCGGTTTACCTGTTCACGCCCATACTTTGGTTTTTAGTAAAATTAAATTAAGATAATTATATTAATTTATCCATTTTTTCAGAATAACGTGGCATCTCCAGAAATTCTCAGTCTGTTGGCCCCCAACAGCTAAAGTTTTGGCCAACCTTCTATAAATGCCTCCGATTCACGTAAATTCCCAAAAGCAGGGCAGTAAAACAATAAACAGAGAAGGGAAGAAGGAGAAATCCTCCGTCAAGGAGGAGGAAGAAGAAGAAGAAGAGGAGGAAGAGTAGAATAGAGTCTAACTCTCTTCTCTTCTCTTCTCTCTGATCTCTTTCTCTCTCTCTTTTCCTTCACTACCTTCAGGTTCTACCGGAATTGGTAGATTTTTATTTTCAATTGTGAGATGGGAACGGAGATCTTACGTCCTCAATACTGTTTAATCGATGAATTGAGAGTGAACTCGGCCGTCTTTCCTCGCCGCAAGCCCTACGCCGGCAACCATAGACCTTGCCGGAAACAGAGCATCGGGCCTGAACCTAGAAAACGTATTACTCACACTGAACCCTCGGTTTCGCATAGATCGACTGCAAGCTTTGATTATTCGAAACCGTCGTTGCCGAAGAATTTGGTCGTGGGACAGGCGGCCATCGTAAAGCGTGGTCAATCATCTCTCGACCCAGATAGAAAAAGTGAATTTTCTACGAAGAAGACTGTTTACGGCACGGAGCGGTTGGGACCAAAGCCAGAAATGGTGCCTAAGCAGATTCGAATCGCCGATGCGAAACTGTTTTCGCCTCGCGTAGCCGTGCGGTCCGACGTTTACGCTGGATCGTCTTGTTCTATCTCACCTTCTCCTAGCGCTCTTCCCTTGCCGAGTTTTTCCAAGAAGAAAGACCAGCCAGCTCTCTTCGACGACTCTGCAACAAAAGATCTAAGGCGTATTCTTGGACTTGATTAACTTAATTATGGGACAAGATTAAACAGGTACCTAAATCTAGACCCGTTACACGCCTCATTCTCGTCGCTCGGAATTATTCAAATCTCAAATTTCTCGTGATTTTTTTTAAACGGGACTAAGATTTGGAATATGGGACGAGCCAGAAATGGTCTAATCTACAAAAGATATGATAGCTGTCTGTCTATATCTATCATTATTATCTCCATGAAGAAGTATATGGATGGATGAATTAGGTTTGTTTAGGGGCAGAAAAAGCTGGGTTGTAATTTCAGGAATTTGTAGTTTGTTTTATATTTTTCAGTTTGGGGGTATGGAGTATGGTGAAGCTTCTGCTCTGTTGCTGCTGTTTGTAAACCTCCTCCTTCTCCTTTTTCTTTTTCTTCTTCTTTCTTCATTCTTGTTCTTCTTCTGTAATGTAATATAAAGAAGGATAGGGGGAAAAATCTCCCCTCTGTCTATTAGTAATTTAAATTTAAATTGGTCTGCCAGTTTAGTAGGGTGGTTAGTAGCTTTCTCAGATTAGTATGGTTAAAAACTTGAAATTGTAATAAGAAGAATAGCATAAATCTCAGATTAAGATGCTTGTGTGCATGGCGCAAGTTATGATTCAGACATGGAGGCCTGATTGGTCTCAAGGCAGCTATCACAAGGTCATGCTCTTTTCTGGTTCTCAGAAGATAATTAACAAAATAACAGGAGAAGAATACCAACTTCAGCTGTGGAAAATTTGGAAATTTGAAGCCTCAGGTCCATGACATACCTCTGAAGACTGTATCTCTCTCTTGTTTTCTTTCTCTTTTTATTCTTCTTCCTCTTTCCTCTTTCCCTTTTTCCTTTCCTCTCTCTCTCTCTGTCTGTCTTCTTTTTCTTTTAATTCTCCTTCTTCTTCCCCTTTTTCCTTTCCTCTCTCTCTCTCTCTCTCTCTCTTCCTCCATTGCTGTCCAATAGGGGTGCAACCGAACCAGCTAGGTGACCCCATCTAACCTCCCTTTTTCTCTTCTTCCTCTTCTTTTTTTCTTATCTCCTTCTCTCTTCCCTCCATTATTTTTTCTCGTCTTCTTTTTTCTTTGCTTGCTCTGTTTTCAGTAACCCAATGTAGGTACCCAATTCCCTTTCTCATTCTCCTTTCTTTTTCTCTTCCTTCTTCACTCCCTTTTCTGTTTTTTTTTTTTTTTTTTTCTTTTTTCCTTTATTTATTTCTCAGAATGGGTCTGTATATGGATGTGAACTGCCCATGGCCATCTAATTCACGGTGGTGGTGAATAAATTATTCCAAAGCCCAAGCTATGTGTTGGGTACAAGAGAAGCTACGTGTTGGGTACAAGAGCCAGTGGTTAAAAGGCTATTTATATTGAGTTTGGGATCTCCTGCCAACAAAAAATCATTCCAACAACCTATTAACATGATCGTACACCACACATCTCACCTTCTGACCGAGACCCATCATAAAAGTGGGACCTGCCATGCCATGTAGGTGATTCAGACCATTTGTTCGGCTCTATTCACGGTGGTGGTGGTTCGGCTGTTGTCATTTTGTACATATCTATTAATATGCCCGATACGTCAGTGTAGGCATATTGGGCAGTATTGATAGTTTTTGTTTTTTTTTTTTTTCAAATCTGGTTCAAAGGGACCAGTTTAAGGGTCCGTTCACTCCCTAAAACAACTCCTGTAGGGGTATATTGGGAAGCCCCGATATGTATCAAAATTTTGAAGCTAATCAAAAATCAATTCTGTTTCTTTCTTGTAATTTTGAATTAAGGTTGCTAACAATAGAAATTTGAGTATTTTACCAATACTCCTAGTCTCCTACCTATTAGACACAAAAAAAGAAGTAAAACACAAATTACAAAGAAACACACTAGAACCAAAAATATACGTGGTAATGACCCTTGTTTCAGGGACTATAATTAAGGGTGAAAAATAAGAAAAAATGTGAAAAATGTTCATTTTATTACGTTTTTTTTTTACCGCTAGGCACATTACCCATAAGCTGAATAGTGAAAAAAAAATGCTTTGGTGTTGAGAAAACATAAAAAAAAGGCTTACATCAACATATGGATCTTAGATAAATGAGACAAACATTTATTTGATAAATGATTTAACTATATTTCAGGAAAAACGTTTAGGTGGCATTGAACTGAGTTGGTGTAGTTTTTAAGATAAATGACAACAGCACCAAACACCATCTAAGACAGTCCAAATCAGGTAGGACAACGGTGTAAGCACGTTAAATGAGAACGTAGAAATTTTTTTGACACCTGTCCCTTAAAATATGGTGTAGTTTTTGACGGTTAGGCACTTGCATCAGTTTTTGAGATGTAAAATTTGCACTGCCAATAACTACAAATTAAACAAGAAATGCAAATTTTGTATCAAATAAGAGTGCAAATCATTGTTACAAGCAAATGGGTGCAAAACTGGACTGAGTGCAAAATTTGCATCTGATTCAGATTTCAATTGCAAACAAACCTATGCTTTTGGAGGAAAAATATATATTTTACATACAAATAATATTAAACCCAAAGAAGATGAAAGCATGCACACATAAGATTGTTAAAATCAAGGAAACATTTGATCCAATAAAGAAGGGGAGAGGTTAACCTAACTATTTCCTTTGGAACTTTTGGAAAATATGAAATGCAGTTATCCTTAAAAATAAAAATGCAATTATCATAGAAAATACTGCTACCAAAATTTCCTTTATTCCAGAAAACATAGCAATGATAATCCTTTGAAGAGGATGAAGGAAGCTAGCCTTGTTAATTGGAATTGGAAACCCCTCGGCTCAATCAAATAAAATAAGTTTTGATGCTTCAGTTAAAAATGATGGTGCAGCTGCTATAGGGAAGACAGCAGGAGATCACTTTGCCAATATTAATGTTACCAACAAAGTTAGGAGAACTCGGAATTGGAAGTTCTAAGAGTTGCGGAGTTTTCATAATTCTCCTGCCAACAAAACACGATTTGAGACTAAACATCTCACAAAATGCACCCCACGACACATCCTCTCTGTGCATTCAGAATAGGCGCTATATAGGGGAGTTCTTTTGAATTCCTCTAGGTGGCCATATGTTGGGGGTAAAACAGGGTGAAAGCAAAGTGGGCTTGCAAACCAGGCCGTTCGGGCAAACGGGCATTCGAGTCGGGAATACAAACGAGAGGAGTGTCAATTGTGCTTTGTTTTTGCTATACTATGACACCTGTCCCAGTTGATGTGCTTTTCATCTAAACATTTTTGTTCTGTTAGACAAGAGTTATCTATTATTTTATTATTTTTCTTCTACTGTTTATTGTCTTCTTCTTCCGAAGGCGAACCAGCGGCGGCCGCCTTGAGCTTCTCCCCAGTGATCCCTCTTCTCTCATCCTCTCCATCTCTTTCCCTCATTCTTTTCTTCCCTTATCAATTATATATATTTTTTTCTTTCCTTTTCCTCCTCCTCCCATGAGCCACAGTTGCAGTTCTCCATGTTCTCTGTTCCCCATCAACAAGAACAAATGACTTATGGCGATGCAATCCTTTCCAGATTTCCCATTCGATTTTAATAGAAACCCAACCTCTTCCGGTCCTGTTTACTTCCCTAGTTTTCCTTCTTATCACCCCACTGCCGTTGCTCTGTCATTCTAATCATCAATTGAGCTCCTACTCTGTGAATTCTGTTGTTTGAACTGGTGGCTACCCCGACCGAAATCCAAGAAAATCATCACCAGTCAAGTGTTAACAATCCCAAATCGGATCAAATTAAAAGTTTCTTGCAGCATTGTTGTTCAGGCCAAAATTTTGACCAGGTACGTCTCTTCTCCTCTACGATTCCCCTTTTACGTTTTTTACTTATTAATTCTAACAAAATAAAAACTTTTAGATGAAAAAGCACATTAGCTGTGAGAGGTGTCACACAGTTATTAGGTACTCACTCATTATGCTTACCTAAGGTGCCTACTACATCCAGACCCTTGTTTTACTTCATATGCATTATGCATTGCAAACAATAAAATAAAGTGAAATTTAAAGCAGAAATAACACAAAATTTACAATCAATGCACTCCCATTGGTTTTCACGGGTTTGTGTTTGATTGCAGTACAATTTCATTTGCATTGGTGCAAAAATATGAGAGGACAAATGATTTCAGTGGAGGTTCTGATTCATTTTTGTTTTGGGTTTTGCTTAGTTTGTTTTGTTTATTTACATTGTAAATAAAGTTCAATAAAACTTAAAGTTAACTAAAGTAAAAATGGACCAAACTTGCAATTTTCTTATTTGCACTTTTATGTATTTGTACTAATGCAAACGGAATTGCATTTCAAACAAACAAAGCAACGGATACAAATGAAATTGCATTGCAAACAAACTATAGGCCTTAACTTTCTAAATAAAGCAATAAGGAAATAAAACAACAATGAATTTATCAATTGTGGAATTAATATCTACCAACATTTGATTTTTTGTGGGTCTTCATGGGACCAATGTTTTAAATGACCATTGAACCCCTCAAGGCTACGCTAAAAGAAAAAGACCTCACCTCAATGGTCTCAGACGGTCAGACCCCACCAGGTTTATGCATTGATTATCTCGAGTAGGGCTGTTCATGGGTCGGGTTGGGTCGGTGCGGTTTTTCCATCCGACTTGACTTGATCGGGTTACTTGACATAAAAATCGAAACTGACCCAATGTTAAGCAAAACCGACCTGATCGGTTTGAGTCGAGTTGGGTCGGTTTGGGTCGGTTTCGGTTCTAAGTTCATCCCTGTGATAAAATCTTGCTAATTTTAAAAACAGTCATAAATTGAACATCATTTCAGCCATCTCCTATGATAAAACTTAAATGAAAAGTTAATCATAAAAGTTGTTCATTAATCACCATTCACTAATCCAAAGTTTCTTGCAACCATTCAAAAACTAAGTGGCCTAATGGGCTTTGGAACTTCATGTTTGAACTAGGAACTAAGTCGGTTCAGTTCGAGTCGGTTTAAGAATTTGCACAACCCGAAACCGATCCGTGCTGATGAAAACCCGGACGACTCGGGTTGGGTCAGTTCAGGTTGGTTGATTTGGTCGGGTTGGGCCTTCTTATGAACAACCCTAATTTCGAGGGTTACATCTTTGGGCATTTGGCCTCATAATTTCTAAGGTTTGAGTCTCAGATATTTGTCCCATTAATATTGTTGAGTATGAAGGTTTATATAAGGGTAAAATAGAAATTTAAGACAAAAAAATAAAGAATAGAATTAGGGTTTATTGTCCAATATCCATCGAGACTTAAGAGTTTGAGATCAAAACCGAACATGATGAGAAGGCTCTCTTGGTGTTTTAGAGAAGAAGCTTCACTGCTCCATTGGAGAAGAAGGCAAAGTTAAAAGAGGCAACAAGTAAGTCCTTAGTCCTCTTCTTCTTCATGCTTTGTTCAGCAGTTCAATTTTAGATCTTCCATAATTAGTTCCATGCTCTATTTTTTTCTTTTTAAAAGTTCAATATTAGTTCTTAACTCAT